TGTTGCAACGCTCTTGTTATGTCTTCTATAAATTAACTTCATTGCATCCTATATATTCTCTGTGTGCAATACCAGATCAATGCAATAGTCATGTGTTAACTTTCTTTTCATCTCTTCTTTTTTCTTTTGCGGAGAGTCATGCATTAGCTAACTGTTTGGATGTACTCTACTCATGCACAAGGAAGCGTTTGTTCCGTTGTTGAACAGAGAGAGAGTCCGGGATACACATTGTGAAGTCACTGGGCTCATGCACTTGCACGCTTAAAAAAGGTGGATAGAACACTATTTGGATCACCAAAAAAAATTATAAGGCGCAAACCTACAAGATACTTATGCATTGTGATAGTAATACCAGCAAAAAAGTAATTCATATCAATGAGATGAAAATCTCATTCAAAATGCATGTTGGAAATGGTAGCGTTACCGTTATGGCACTGCAACACAGGGCAGCATTATATATACACCCCAATTAGGGAAGGATGTGACGCATCTACAACAAACTGTATATAGCTGCTAATGTGAACATTCATTATTTATGGATCATATTTGGTAATATGATCCATGTGAAAACACCATGAGATATTATTTATGGAACATATAAAAACGCTACATTGGAGTTCACCAAATTAGATCATAGTGTTTTTATCATATCCGAGATATCGATATGATATACTTAGTAAGAACGATGTTGGACAGACACAAGCATATATCACGACATTCCTTGATCATGTTAAGTGGTTGTGTAATTCTCGAAAATGAGATCATGCTGATTGCAGAGGAGCTCCGTCAACGGAATAATTAACTATTTGCCACTCTTACAAGTGGTTCTAAAGGATTTACTATTGAACCCACATATCATAGACATGAGAACCCACACATCATAGACAACAAGTGACAAATTCTAAATTACCATATCTTAAAAGTGGTATATAAGGTGGTATATAGTTTAAATGTCCCTCCATCAAGAGACGCACACCACAATAGTGAAATATGTGACCGGGTCTTTACCGAAGTCTTTGTGGACATCACTTAGCTTGTTTGAGGACGTCACATAGATCATCATAGACGGCCAGCCTTTACTGGAAGCGGACCTCACTTTCCGCATGACACAGCAGCGCCGACAAGGCCTTTGCATACTCTTAAAAAAGAAAAGACTTTAATATGTTTTACTTTCTAAATTTATTTCTTGTTTCTTTTATTCCTTAATTGTGAGGAATGGAGTCTAAATAGGTTGTAATGTTTGCCTGTGCATATCCATGTATGGATATAGAAACCGGATTTTTATCTATTATAAAAAAATACTCCATCCCTAGCTTTCGTATTTATTTCTGGTAACTTTTTTTTCTATTTTCTGCTCTTACTTCCTTTCTTTCCTCCTCCCTTGCATGTGTCTTCATTCGTCATCTTTTATTGCTGTGTTTTGTTTGTCTCAACTCAAACCAAATACACCCTCCGTTTCAAAATATGTGACGCCGTTGATTTTTTAAAATATGTTTGACCATTCATCTTATTCAAAAAATTTAAGTAATTACTAATTATTTTTATATCATTTGATTCATTGTTAAATGTACCTATATTTATACATATAATTTTACATATTTCACAAAAGTTTTTGAATAGGCAAAATTTGCTACAAGACATTCAAAAAACGTGTAATTCGCTAGAGGACATCGAAAGAATGTGTATTTGCTGTAGGGCATCATAAAAAACTGGTAATTAGCTCCTGGACACCCACTGCATTACTTTATTATTTCTAGAGGAATAGGAGAGAGAAACGATCATTAAAGACAAATTTGCCCTTAGCTCAAATGAATCCACGTGGGCCCACATGTAAGCCCCTCTCTCTCCCGGCACAGCGCCGCGTCGGCCAGCCAGAACATGCCGGCGGTGGCAGGCTCTTCGCCGTGCAATCATGTCTCGCGTCGCGTCGTCGTGCAGCGAGGCGTCGACGGCCGAGGGGAACTCCATGCCGTACGACCACCAGTCCATGCCTGCGCCGTGCCCACCGCCGCGCGCCACCTCCGGCGCCACATACTCGTGTGTGCCGACGAACGAGCTCGACCGTGCGTGCACTGGTTCTGCCCGCGATGCCCATCATGTGCAGATACTCGAGCGCGAGGAGCACCTCAGTGGCGTAGAACCTGGCGAACGGGATTGGGAATCGACGACCGGGCATGCTTTGGCGTTGTGAGTGAGGGAGTAGATCTGGCCGGCGTCGAAGTCGTCGAACATGGCGAGCATGAAAGGGTGGTCGAGCCAACGCAGGATGCGCTTCTCCGCGGCGGCGTGGCCCAGCTTGCCCTTCTTGGAGAGCGCGCGGCAGTCCACCACCTTCATGGCGTACTCGCACGAGGACGATGAGCCGACGCATTCTCCTTCAGACGATGTCCCTGGCGCCGACGTGGTGGATGAGGGTGAAGTCCCGCGGGCGTAGCGGCGACGAGGATGGGCGCCCAAGCGAGGTCGGCCGCGTGGTGCGGGCGTGGTAGGGAAGAGGTGGGTGTGGCCATGTCAAGTGAGAACATGGAGGAGCTGAAAGCGACACCCACTGACCCACCGTGCTACTGCTGCCGCTGGCCTGCTGCTACTTATGCTTGAGCTGGGCATGGAGGCAGCGTGTATGTGCATGTCGTGGTAGGCCTGCGCGCGACAGCGCAGTGCCGCACCAGGCCCGCGCCTCGCCGCACCGTAGCTGATGCTCTCCCTCTCCCTCGGGCTTGCTTGGAGAAAAGAGCAGAGAGAGAGAGAATGAGAGAGAAAAGAACAAGGAAGAAGGAGCAGGGAAGGATAGAGAAAAACAAAAAGAAAAAAATTCGAAGGGTAGAACCGTACTTACACAGTTTTTCTCTCTCCAATTTCTCCGGATATAATAAAATAATCCCGTGGGTGTCCAGCAGCTAATTACCAATATTTTGTGATGCCCTATAGCATATTCGCGTTCTTGCAGTGTCTCCCAGCTAATTATACGTTTTTTGGATGTCCTGTAGCAAATTTTGCCTTTTGAATAAGACGAACAGTCAAACATTTGCTAAAAAGTCAACGGTGTCAAATATTTAGAAATAGAGGGAGTTTTACGTAGTACACACCAACCGATCGTGCCCTAGCCACACTCGTACTCATTGAAATCATACTGAAAGCACATCAACGTGTGCATAATATTTATGAGCACTATGATTGAGTCATGCACACATGATTTTACCATCACACTGCGTTTCTCTAAGTTGAAATGAAAGTTCAAGTTGAAAAAAGAATGGGCTTAGAGAAGAGTTTTGAAGGCTAAAAATGAAAGAGTTTTGCCATTGGCTAGGCTAAAAAAAAATAGGTTCAAACCACAACGAAGCTCACCAGAAGGTTAGAAGAGAAGGTGTGCTAGTATGACAGGAGCATCGCTTCAGTATCCATGTAATAAAAGATAAAAATTCAGTTATTGACAGCAAGAGATGATAATATTACGTATGATCAGAGAAGTGTGGATTGACGTGGTCTGAACTCATCTTCCGGGTGCACGAACACGTACTATTCGAAGCATCTCTAGAATTAGAAAGCAGAAATTGCAGGTGTATTTATCATCACTGGCAAACAAAAACCTACAGTACATAGTAGAAAACTCAAATCAACGTATCGGATGGATGATGGATGGTCTTGTTGCATTTTTCCTGTGTCCACACTTCGCAGTTCACACAAATAATTTCGGTCGCGTGCAAAGCAATAGTAGTAACCAATAATGAACCAACTAAGGGACAATTTGAACCATGCCACACAAATTTTGCAAAATTTGTGATATGCCACCTGACCCACATGTCATTGACTCATGTGGGTCCTACATGTCATTGAGATACGGGTGGCATATCTCAAATTTTGTAAATATAGGGTGGCATGGTTCTAACAAACCCACTAACTAATTCATAGTTTTGATCGTTTGGCCAACGGGTGATAGCCTGTAAAATGGCTTATTAGAAACAAATTATTTATGAATAAACTTTTTATATTTTATCTTTAACGATTTAAAAGTATGCTGAAAAATAAACTACGAAAAAAAAATCTCGAAATCAACTACAAAGTTCAAATTTTGGCTATGGCTCATGAGCCAAAATTCAAAAGGCTAACGTTGGCAACTTTTACATCGAGATGTCGACAGGATCGATATGAATATCTTTTCTTGAGGCTTAAAATCCAAGCTACGGAGTCGCCGTGAACTTGCGGGTGAAAGGACGTACAGGTGCCGACTTGATGATCCATGTCCGGCACCATCATTTAAGGAGAGCACTGTCCAATAGAAGCTGTCCATATATACCATCAGACATTCAGAGTTTCAGACGGCACAAGTTTTCATTCCATATCATCAGGAGAACTTCAGGTACAAACTGCACTTTCTTTGTTTCCGTTCATATTTTGCCAGGCCGGTTACTGTTCATGTTCCTCAGAAAGTAACATCATGCATGATCTAGGGCATAATGATCTCCTGTTGAACCTGGTAGGCTATGCTTCTATTTTTGATATAAGCTACCAAGTCATTATATTATAATAGACAAAAAAAATGGCAAAACCAACCAGAGGTTAATCGACTGGAGATTCTGAGTTCCTGACCTGATTTTTCTTATACCTGTACAAACAGATTGAAAATTTAATTCACGTCTTGTTTTTCCTGCTTTGCTTTTAGAAATTCAATTTCAACGAAGAAAGGTTCAAGGTGTGACCAAATTGCCACATATATGAGAACACGTGAATGGCATATTTAATGAAACACTCATTCGTTTTGGACAATACCAGAGCATGTTTACTTATTTTAAAGAGAGCGGAGATCATTTTTATGATTAGAAAAATAAAATGTAAGGATTTAGCTGAATAACTCTTAACTAGCCATGGAGATTATCGACAAAAATAGATGCAACCTATCATGCATAATAACAACCTATTCGGCGAACAACCACCGCTGTTGTACTTCTTCTCCAAACCATCATACCAGTTAAAAAATATATTTAAACAAATGCATCACCATGTCATTGTCCTCAGTCATAATGCACACATGACAAGAACTGTTTACAAAACTACAACAGGGATTATTTGCACATGTCCTCATATTTTGGAGGGTGGAATTCTCGATTTCATGTTCCAGGAGGTTAAGTAGGCCAAACCACTGTATCATGCAGGCGGTTAAGTTTCCAACCTTTAAACTTTCAAAAGTTTAGATTGATACATGTAGATTTGCTTGAGTACTTTCATAGCATTATAACACTAATGAGCTTTATAAATAGTATTTTATATAAAGATCAGATATCAAAGTTTTATTTGGGAGACCATGTCAATGTCCAAAATGGCGTATTTCTGAGTTGTGACCGATGGGAGTTTTTTCTGGCACACTTATTATTCCAAGTGAAACTTACCTGGGCATGGAATTGAAGACTAATTCTTTTTTGTTTTTAGCTGCCAGAAAAGTGCTTCAAAATGTTTACTGCCCTAAAATTGCTTCTCTTGCCATATCTGCTCCTACTGGCATCAGCTTCATGTACTCAAGGATTGCCTTTCAGCAATAACACTGATCTGGATGCCTTGCTAGGATTCAAGGCAGGTCTAAGCCATCAGTCAGATGCACTGGCTTCATGGAACACAACAACAAGCTACTGTCAGTGGTCTGGTGTCATCTGCAGTCATAGGCATAAGCAAAGGGTATTAGCACTGAATCTCACCTCGACTGGGCTCCATGGCTACATATCCGCTTCCATTGGGAATCTCACATATTTGAGAAGTCTAGATCTTAGTTGCAATCAACTTTATGGTGAAATCCCTTTGACGATTGGTTGGCTGTCGAAGTTGTCATATCTCGACTTGTCAAACAATTCATTCCAAGGTGAAATTCCTAGGACAATTGGCCAGCTACCACAGTTATCCTACCTGTACCTGTCAAACAATTCACTTCAAGGCGAGATCACTGATGAACTAAGGAACTGCACTAACCTTGCTAGCATCAAACTTGACTTAAACAGCCTGAACGGAAAAATCCCTGATTGGTTTGGAGGTTTTCTGAAGCTCAATTCCATTTCAGTAGGGAAGAACATCTTCACCGGGATCATCCCGCAATCACTTGGCAACCTCTCGGCGCTGTCGGAACTTTTCCTCAATGAGAATCACCTCACTGGACCAATCCCTGAGGCCCTTGGCAAGATCAGCAGTCTTGAGAGGTTGGCACTGCAAGTAAATCATCTGTCAGGCACCATCCCAAGAACACTCCTCAACCTTTCCTCGCTGATCCACATTGGCCTGCAGGAGAATGAGTTGCATGGAAGATTGCCTTCTGATTTGGGCAATGGCCTACCAAAAATCCAATACTTCATCGTTGCCTTGAACCATTTCACAGGAAGCATCCCACCTTCAATAGCAAATGCAACCAACATGCGCTCCATAGACCTCTCTTCTAACAACTTCACTGGAATCATACCTCCGGAGATTGGAATGCTCTGCCTGAAATACCTGATGCTGCAAAGAAACCAGCTGAAGGCAACCAGTGTCAAGGACTGGAGGTTCATCACGTTCTTGACAAATTGCACAAGACTTCGTGCTGTGACAATACAAAACAACAGGCTTGGTGGAGCACTGCCAAACTCTATCACCAACCTATCAGCACAGCTCGAACTCCTGGATATCGGATTTAACAAAATTTCAGGTAAAATACCAGATGGTATTAACAACTTCCTCAAACTAATTAAGTTGGGTCTCTCTAACAATCGTTTCAGTGGTCCGATACCTGACAGCATAGGAAGGCTTGAAACACTGCAGTACTTGACACTAGAAAATAACCTATTGTCTGGGATCATACCATCCTCACTCGGAAACTTAACGCAACTGCAGCAACTCTCTCTAGATAACAATAGCTTGGAGGGGCCATTGCCAGCAAGCATTGGGAACCTGCAACAACTTATCATCGCAACCTTTTCAAACAATAAACTTAGAGATCAATTACCTGGAGATATTTTTAATCTTCCATCCTTGTCGTACATTCTGGATCTGTCAAGGAATCATTTTAGCGGTTCTCTTCCATCAGCAGTAGGTGGTCTCACAAAACTTACATACTTATACATGTACAGTAACAACTTTTCTGGGTTGCTACCAAATAGTCTCAGCAACTGTCAGAGCTTGATGGAACTTCATTTGGACGATAACTTCTTTAATGGTACCATTCCTGTATCAGTGAGCAAAATGCGAGGATTAGTACTGCTAAATTTGACCAAAAATAGCCTTCTTGGTGCAATTCCTCAGGACTTAAGACTCATGGATGGACTGAAAGAGCTATATCTTTCACACAATAATCTATCTGCACAAATCCCAGAGAACATGGAAAACATGACATCATTATATTGGCTTGACATATCCTTTAATAACCTTGATGGCCAAGTCCCAGCACATGGAGTGTTTGCCAATTTGACAGGATTTAAGACAGGATTTAAGTTTGATGGGAATGATAAGCTTTGTGGTGGTATACGTGAGCTTCATTTGCCTTCATGCCCAACCAAACCCATGGAACATAGTCGAAGTATACTTCTAGTCACTCAAAAAGTGGTTATTCCGACTGCTGTTACAATCTTTGTGTGCTTTATCCTGGCAGCTGTTGTCTTCTCTATACGGAAGAAACTAAGACCTTCATCCATGCGAACAACGGTAGCACCTCTGCCAGATGGCATGTATCCTCGAGTATCCTATTATGAACTGTTTCAATCAACGAATGGCTTCAATGTCAACAATTTGGTTGGCACTGGACGGTATGGATCTGTTTATAAGGGGACAATGCTGCTCAAAAAGTCGGAAACTACTGTAGCTATCAAGGTTTTCAATCTTGAACAATCTGGTTCTTCCAAAAGTTTTGTGGCTGAGTGTAACGCAATTAGCAAAATCCGCCATCGCAACTTGATTGGTGTCATAACTTGCTGTTCTTGCTCTGGCTTGAATCAAAATGACTTTAAAGCCATAGTATTCAAGTTCATGCCTCACGGAAACCTTGATAAATGGTTACATCCGGAGGTACACTCATCAGATCCAGTTAAAGTTCTAACACTAGTGCAGAGATTGAGCATTGCTTCTGATATCGCCGCTGCACTAGATTATTTGCACAACAGCTGCCATCCAACAATAGTTCACTGTGATTTCAAGCCCAGCAACATTCTTCTTGGGGAGGACATGGTTGCGCATGTTGGAGACCTTGGCCTTGCCAAGATTCTCACTGACCCAGAAGGAGAGCAATTGATCAATTCAAAGAGTTCTGTAGGGCTAATGGGAACAATTGGATATATTGCTCCAGGTACTCAATACTATTTTCCAATAAATCTTATGGTTTGAGCCATGCAATACTTAATTATCACGTTTACGCACTGCAGAATATGCTGAATGTGGTCAAATTTCTCCATCTGGTGATGTATATAGCTTTGGTATAGTGCTCCTTGAGATGTTTACAGGGAAGGCGCCTACAAATGACATGTTTACTGATGGATTGACATTGCAGAAGTATGCAGAAATGGCATATCCAGCAAGACTGATCGATATTGTTGACCCCCATCTGCTATCAATTGAGAACACATTGGGAGAAATCAACTGTGTCATGAGTTCAGTCACAAGACTCGCACTGGTATGCAGTAGGATGAAACCAACTGAGAGGCTGCGCATGAGAGATGTTGCAGATGAGATGCAGACAATAATGGCTTCTTATGTTACAGAAATAGACAAAGTTTCTCTATGATGCAACAGTAGTGCTTGTTCCTGACATTTTTTCAACAGTGTATTGTGCCCTCTTAAAAAACTGACAGCAAGTCCGCATGGTCAGTTGGTCACTAGTTTTATTTATTTAGTTATTACCCTTTAACAGAATATATGCATCCAGTTATTTCGATTTTTTTTCCTTTTAAAAATAGATAGTTAGAATAACTTTCCAGAAAGAAAGGTAAAACTAGAGCCCACCTAACATTTTCTCAGATTTACTTGTCAACCACATCACATCAGGCATCTCCCCTACCTTTCTCTAAGACTTTTAACTAGCTTGTGTAGTACATATACACATCTAGGATTTCATTGGTGAGAAACAAAAAGTATTAAGTCCCAAAAACAGGCATTGTAAAAGAAAGACTAAAAATAGCAAGTAATGTAGATATTTCTTTTTCACTGTAAGGCACTTTGGAACAACAATGTATTCTATAAATTGCACCTCTGTTTACCAAATAAGGGGCATGAAGTAAACTTTGTTCCTTCCTGACTTCCTCTTCGTATGTGGCACCTCTGCAAGCATAAAATAAGGAAAACAGGGTTCAACAGTCAATACAGCCAAATTTACAGTCGCATGTATGTTTTTCACACAATCACACCTATGTATACAGTTCTATATTATTTACAGATGTCTCCACCGAGCGACTTACTTGAAAGAAGTCCACCAGCTGTAGCTCATTCTCCAAAAATAGCCACAACCAAAGAGATCATAGAACGAAAATACTTTTTATTCTCCAGAGCATTGAATTGTTTCTGGAAGCCCTTAAGAAGTAATTCCATCTGTCATTGCCATTCCAAGAAGTCATGTTCCCATCCATGTCAAGCTGACACACCAAATCAACAGTTTGACATTCAGCATGTAAGCATTTTTGTTATTCCTCAAATTCAATGATGACTGTTTTGAAAGTAAGAAAAAAAAAAGTAAAAAACAAAGCCTCTTGGGTTGCAGAAACAAAATTAGCAACAAAGATAGATCGGAAGGTTCTCTGATGTAACAGACAATTACTCTAATATCAATATTAAAAATTTCAGAATATTAATTTGTGAAATATCAAAATAAAATAAGGAGAATAAGCATGTCTGAAGTGTTGCTGCAACGATAATTATTTGCTATGATGAACAACAAATTACATATCAGTATAGTTTAAGCCAAAAGTGTCACACTCAAACCTCATAGATGAATTTGACGCCCAAAATTCATCATCTGGTGTTTCTGTTAGAGTTTATGGTAGTGAGAGGGATATTAGTATAGGATTGACTTGTGTCAAAATACCATTTTTTTTATCTCAGATCCCCTTCCTTATCTCTTGTACTCTATATATACCGGTCCTCTGAAGCTCAATACAATCCACCAAGTTACGCGGTATATTCGTCTCCCCATACTATTTCAACAGTTTCATGTGTCTTCATAAAAAAACGAATTATGCTCCCTCCCGAAAAGAAAAAGAAAAAGAATTATGCATTCATGTTGCCATTTTAGGTGCACAAATAATTCCCTGGAGTGCTTCCGGAGCATATCAACATCCTTTCTGCAGTTTCTGAGTTATTTCTGAACAACGACTAAATTTTGCCAAATTAAAAACGTTCCGTTCCGTTCCTGTCCAGAAACAGCACCTAATCGTTTCATGACCGTCGGCCAATTAAAATCCAATCCCCAATTGGCCTCTAATCCCAAGTTTGTACAATCAGGCCGCGCAATTCTACCCGAAGCTATTCCAAATTCAGGACGCGTTGGTGAAGAAACAAGTATGGGGACAGTGGGGGGTAGGAGAAGTTCGCAGTACCTCTGCTGCTCCAGGGGAGAGGCGCGGCCTGCACGCTGACCCACCCACCGGGTCGAAGGCCCGGAACACGCCGGGACACCGGAACAGGAAGAGAGACTCGTCGTCCCAGGAGAGGGCAGAAGGATGCGGTAGTCCGGGCGGGCGGAAGCCGCCGACGGGCGACGCACACTCGCCAAGCCTAGCGCGGCGGCCTGATTCCGCCGCGCGAGAAGGCGCCGGCGGCGAACAAGGTCGGTCCCGGTCGACGCGGGGGGTGTGTTGTGGGTTCCTTTTTTTTTTTTTTTTTTGGCAAAATTTGTTACAGAACACCGAAAGATTGCGGCATTTGCTGTGAGACACCTGAAGATCGTGTATTTACTCGTGGACACTACAAAAAAAATAGTAATTAGCTGCAGGACACTCCTATTATTTTATTATTTCCGGTCAAAATGGAGAGAGAAAGAGTTGTGTAAGAGCACCCGCAATGGTAAAGTAAGGTGCTCTCTATAAAATATATATATCTCAACAATAGACTAGATTAATAGTAAACCACCTCAATAGTATGTCTACATGGGTATCTATAGCTCTCTCATCCATTGCCTCGTTTTTCTCTATAGACTATCTTCAGATTAGTAGATAGCTTTACCCTCTCTCTTCATTTAATCTGTTCCAAATAGGAAAATATACTGACATGGATCTCTTATAGAGAGCCTATAGATAACCATTGCGGGTGCCCTAAGTACCAAAATGCCCCTAGACACGTACTGTTCTTCCTCTCTCTCTTCTTTTCTTTTCTCATTCTTCCTCGCGACAGCGGCAGAGGGGAACCAATCAACGGCGAGCAGCGGCGGGCGCGGATGGGAGGGCACTCCAGGCGGCGGCGGGAGCGGCACGGAGGGGTCGCGGTGGAGAGGAAGCTTCAGATGGTGGCAACGGCGGGGCCGGCGGTCGGCGTGCACGGCGGCGCGCGGAGAGGTGGAGGGGATAGGAGAGAGGCGGGCACCGGTGGCCATGGCGAAGAGGTCGGCCGTCGTGGCGCCGGTCGCTGCCTCCGTCGCCGCCCGCACGGTCCATATCCGCCTCAGCCACCGCGAGCTCTGCCTCAGCCGACCGCCGCCCAGGCGAGCTCCGCTTCCATGCGACCAGGCCGTTCCCAACGCTACCCACCATCGTTGTCGCTACGGGAATCTCTCGAAGGAGTAGAGCTCGCCCGGGCAGCTGACTCCTCGCGCATTCCCCTTGCTCGTTGTCGCGACCGCCGTCCCCCGGCCCAGCGGCAGAGAGCTTGCTCCGCCTGGACCACCGCCGCCACGGCCTCACGCTGCCGTCCTCAAGATGCTGCCGGCCGGCGCCACGACGGCCCGCCTCTCTACGATGGACGCCAGCGCCCGCCTCTCCCCTATCCCTTCCACCTCCCCGCGCGCCGAGCGCCGGCCCGCCCCCGCGCGCCGCTGCCCATCACATCCCCTCGCGATGAAGAAGAAGAACAGACAAAGAGAGGAAGAAGAAGAAGAACAAAGAAAAAGATATTGATAAGTGGGCCCATGGGCAAACTTGTCTTTAACCAAAGTTTCTCTCTCCATTTTGACTGGAAATAATAAAATAATGGGAGGAGTGTCCTGCAGCTAATTACCACTTTTTTGTAGTGTCCACGAGCAAATACACGATCTTCGGGTGTCTCATAGCAATGGCCGCAATCTTTTGGTGTCCTGTAGCAAATTTTGCCTTTGTTTTTTCCTTTCATCTTATTCACCAAGTAGATCGAAAATAATTTAATCTTTTAAAAGGCTGGAACACAGTCAAATTATCCTATAAAATATTTTGCTACAACGTATAAAACAACGGTTCCGAATATATTGAAACATGAAACAAATCCGAGTACATTCAGAAAAAGTCTATATGAGATTTTGAAGCCAAGAAAATCAAAAAAGTTTCAATCTTTTTAAAAGTTGAAATACAATCAACACCTTATGAAATATTTTGCTACCACGTATAAAACAACGGTTCCAAATATATTGAAACATGAAACAAATCCGAGTACATTTAGAAAAAGTCTATATGAGATTTTGAAGCCAATCGGATGCTGTTTCACCAAGAAAATCGAAAAAGTTTCAATCTTTTTAAAAGTTGAAATACAATCAACACCTCATGAAATATTTTGCTACCACGTATAAAACAACGGTTCTGAATATATTGAAACATGAATGATGTAGCTATCAAAAATCATTCGATAGCCATTTAGCCTTCCCGTTACAAATTTGCCTATTCACATAAATGTCATTACCTCCTTCCTTTTTTATCTTCTTCCTTCTCACTCCCCATCTTCTTCTTGTCTTGACCACGCTGCCCGACACGTGGATGCGAGCAAAGAGGGAAAGAGGGATTGATGGATGGATCAGTGCGGCGGAATTGGCTGTAGCGGCCTTGAGCAAGACCTGCACGTCGCTGCCCAATCCGCCGCATGCCGCTCCATCAATGGTCGTCCATGGAGATCTAGCCCGCCCCCACAGCCGCCGCTGCAGCCGTGGCTTGCATTTTCATAGACTGCAACACAATAAGATGGGAAGAAAAAAAGACGACCAAATAAATAAGATGAATGGAAAACGTAACAGCTAGTAGTATCACGATTTCAATTTTATAAAATTTCTATGGTATAGTTAGGAATAGACGAATTGTAATAATATTTATCTGAATAGATAAATTTACAATGGCATAGATCCAATTAACTTTTTTTTTCTCTTCTTGAACTCAGCCGCACCACAGCACCTTGAACGGTTACATCTGAAAATGGTTTGCTCGGTAACTTTTGAAGGGGAATAACTCACGAGGGATTGATTGTCATAGTTTCATTTTTACTTCTCATCCCTCAATAGTTGGATAGTATAAGATTATTAGCTCATATTAAATCTAACATGTATAATATATTTACTATACGGTTAGTTTTATTTTTTTTCTTTTCTCTCTTTCTCTTACTATGAATTTAATGTAAATATTTTGGAGCATTTGTATAGCTAGCTCTTGCATGAGAGACAACACTTCTCACTTTTATTTATCTTTCTATTTCACACAAGTTTATAGTTGGCTTATAGCCCACTAATATACTTGCCCTAAGAGATGAGAATTATAGTTAATTCAAGTGAGAATTAAATTTTATGTGATGATGTACGGCTTAGGCTATCTCATTGAAATTAAAGGGGAATTCCCTCCCAATTACCACTTGTACCTAAATGACGCGACAAAATCTAACATTATGCCATTGTCACAAGTGGGATTCGTTTAAATGTCATTCCCTAGAAGGGATTTAATGAAATATCACTCTCAATCCATAGCTACATGCTAAAAAAATGTTTGTGACCAAATTTCCCCTACACACCTCTTATTCCTGTCTCCAACGCCATCATCCCTTAAGCCCTAGCTCCTCGTCGCTCCTCATTGGAGCAGGCGGCACTAAACGGCAGATGCATGCAAGGAGGAGTAAGAAGCTCATCGAGGACACATACGTGGGGAGGAGCGGAGAGGAGCGAGGTTGGCCACGGTGCATGCTGGGATGACCTTAATTACCAGTTGAAGGCATAGGCTGGGAGAAGTTAGAGGACTTCGCTGGCCAGAATTAGAAGAGAAGATGGAGATGGAGGAAGCAAGGCCAGTCTAGTCTTAGTCTTAGATAATATTTTAGCGTGTAGCTATGGGTTGAAAGTGATATTTTATCGAAACACTCTTGCATAGTGGTTTTTTTTTAACAAAAACCATGTATTGAAAAGGTGGGAGTTCGCTCTTAAATTCCCTTTCTTAATCCCTCCTAAAACTTCTACGTCCACCAACCAAGACTTAATAGCCCCCGCCCCCATAAACTTCTATGCCCACCTAACAATTTCACCCCTTCCCCCAACCAAACACATTCTTAATGTTTTGGAGTCAACTTATTAGAACTTTGAATATTAATAACTTCCAAAATATTTAGTTCAAAGGCATTAATTAGAACAACATGTAAAAGATTAGTGTTAAAAACAGTACTATCGTAAAATTAAATATTTATTTATTGTATATACTATAATAGAAAATTACAGTGAAAGATATGTTTGCGAGACCGTATTATTGTCCAAAACTTTAATAACTATGAAACGGATAGAGTAGTACTAAGTACTAATCTAGTGTAAATATCAAAGGGCACTTTAAAATTTTTAATTGAAATATCAATTGATATTTCATCCCGAATGAACAGTTATTATCATTTACAATAATTGAGGATAGATATGTTGTTGTGGTAAATAATATCGACCAATATAACCCGCATGCTTTCTAGAAAGAGTTAGGGTTAAATGATATTATCTGGTTCAAAAATTGCACTTACCAATATACAGATCAAGACTCCATTGTATTTTATTATGCCATAAAATAGCATGGTACGAGATTAATATATGAATTCGCTTAGTCGAGATGAAATGGTTTTTAGATCTCGTGACAATGTTGTGTTATGTCCGTTCAGGCATATTTATATGCAAATTCAATGGTTTTAGAAACTTAAGGTGTTCAAGAAAAAGAAAGAGAGACTTAACATCTGTCGATAATCCAACTCATGTCAAAAGTTAATTACAAAATCACATACTAAGATAACGAAATGAAGCACGAGTACATCTATAAATCTATATCTGAACCCCCTCCCCGCATCCCCTGGCACAAAAATTAAAAAGCGAGAAAAGTAATTGCAAGAAAAATGTTAAAGAAAGAAGAAAGAACACATCGGTAAAATAATATTATTCTCAGCCAGTACTGTGTTTGATTGAATCTAAATATCAAATCCTTAAACACAAATCATTTGCAAATTAATAGTGTCATATGAGATTATGACAATGCTATTATTACAAGTAATCACCAATGGCTATAATGTTCACTCAAGGAAACAGGTGAGATCTGCAATAGCTCTAAGGGCATGAGTATTGTAGTATTAAAGCAGTCGATAAGCAATAAATACTTTTTTTCTATCCAACGGTAACCATTGTGATAGCATGTAACAACAACTACCAAGCATTTATGCTACCGTCCGTAGGAAGGAATTAAAATACATTATTTATACAGTGTTTTCAGACACATGCATTAAAAATAGAGTAGCAGTTAGACATTGCATTGTAGCTATTGTAATTCCTATTGCAGCAAAGCTGCAGCTTCATCCTCTACAAATACAGAGACACAACTGAGTAAATTTCTATGCATTTCATCAAACTATACTATTTAGTTCACACCAAACTTTTCCCAAACTTCCAACTTTCTATCACATCACATCACATCCAAAACTTTTCTACTCAGGCTATGTTTAGATCCAAAGTTTGGATACAAACTTCAGTCCTTTTCCATCACATCAACCTGTCATACACACACAACTTTTCAGTCACGTCATCTCCAATTTCAACCAAAATCCAAACTTTGTGTTGAACTAAACACAGCCTCACATAAACTCCTAACTCTTTTTCCAAACTACCAACTTTCCCCAAACTTCTCCCCAATTTCATAAACTAAACACGACATAGAAGATGGATCCCACAACAAAGGTTTTATGCACATGTTGAACCAGGCTCCCCAAAACAAACTTTTGGAAACATGGTATACAAAACTCTACTCCTACACAATTCCACTGACACATAATTCCACTGACACCACACAGTTCCACAATAATACTCACTTTGATATTAACCATTATTGTTGCCCTAAGACTGTCTCCAACAGTCTACCCATAATGGTACCTAAACCCAAATATGGGTCATCCGATGAAAAAATCGGAGGCCAACAGAGTACCCAAACCGGAGACGCAATTTGCGTCGGAGTCGAGTGAGAACGCAAAAATGCGTCCTTCTCTCTCCTCAACCCAAATCGGTGCCGCCCGCCCCGCCACCGCCTCGTCCAGGCTCGCCGCTCGCCGCCACCGCATGCTCGCGGTCATCCTTCCCGTGTGGGTGCTGCATCAGCCGGCCACTGCACGGTCTTCGCTGCCGGACTTGTGGCTGAGCTCCCGCGTGAGTCGGGGACACGGAAGCGGAGGACGAGGCGAGTCGGGTTTAGACGCCGGCGCGGCGAGGCGAGCCCTCGGACGATGACGGTGAGTCGGGCCCGCGACGGGGAGCGACCGGCGCGGCGAGGCGGGTCCGCGGCGGGGAGGGAGGGAGGCACGGCGCTCGGTGGGGAGGGAAGCGGGCGGCGCTCAGCGCTCGTTTTGGTCCGTTGTTGGAGAACGAAAGAATTGGGTGCGTGACCCGGACATCCCGCATGACCCAAACGAACGAATTTGGGTGAGGGCTGTTGGAGACAGTCTAAGGGAGAAAAAGAAGGGTGTAGCATGGGATGGGAGCTCTCAAATAAACTAGTGTTGTTGACTACTTATCACACTTTGACCACAAGTTACGTCAATAACTATTTGATTTTGATGTTATATCTGTGGCACAAAAATACTTCCATAATACACCATATTTCAAGGTATTTATACTTTTTTTTATCTGAATGGAAGTACTGATCAATGTTTGAAATTGATTAGTGCTAGTATCAATTCAATTTAATGGAGGTAATATGGATTCAACAAAGTCATAAAGCAATTTGATCTTATGTCCAATGTTTTAAGATTTTATCATACTCCCTCGGTTCTAAAATATAGCAACTTCTAGCATTCAAAATTTATCCTAAAATACAATAATTTTTCCACTTATATTCTCTTCTTAACCAATCGCAATATTCTTCCATTTAAAATCTGCACGTACTCGCTTGTATCAACGAATCACAACTTTTCCCTATTAGATTCCAACATCCCCATTTGATTTCATCTATTTTTTTTAATAATCATGTTCAAACCAAAACTTCTTATATTAAGACGGGTAGTACAAATTTTCCATGGGAATTTACCCGACATGTTACTTGGATCATCTCCAGGAAGCTTCTTATATTAGGGTGTGTTCGCAGGAACATGTTCCCAATCCAAATAGTGAACACGGAAAACGGAGCGGTCCATTAACACGTGATTAATTAAGTATTTGCTAATTTTTTTCAAAAATGGATCAATATGATTTTTTAAGCAACTTTCGTACAGAAACTTTTTATAAAGAACGCACCATTTAGCAGTTTGAAAAGCGTGCGTGCGGAAAACGAGAGTAGGAGTTGGGAACCATGTCTTGCAGACAGAGCCTAAATGTTTGGTGGAGAGGGAGAATTAGAAGGAAAGGAACTGCTATCACTACTTCAGATCAGCAGAAGTGTGATTTGTTGGAAGGACATTGCTACTATGTGGCCTTCCACTGAATTGCTCCGCTAAATTGCTACAAGCTCTGTCCTAAAAAGAAAAGGCAATCTAGAAAGAGATGTGATATAACCTAGTATAACGAATCTAGACAACTTTATCTGAATTCGTTGTACTAAGTTATGTTACATCCTCTCTTACGTTTTCTTTTTGGGAACGGGGTATATATGTTTCATAACTCATGCTCCCCTATCATAAGTCTTCTCCTAAAAATTTATATGATTGAAATGGATTACACCGTTTACTATACCATTTGGAGCGAGTATAATAGCAAGTTTAACAGTATAGTCAACTACTAACTCTAAATTATCTATAGCTTATTCATATAATAGTTATCTATAAATATATACTATTAATACATGATCCCACCTCTCATACATATAGTGTCTTATAGTCCGTGCTACAGCTGGCTATAAATATGTAGCTCACTTTTTTTTATCTTATTTCTTATATCCTCCATGTGTGCTTATTACTGGCTTATGTACTTACTCTAATAAGTGATGTAAGCAGACTCTAAAAATTACCACATCGGTTTTGTACTTAAATAAAAAAAGAGAGAGAAGAAAAACGGATTGTTAATTTGTAACCAGCAATAGCATGAGCTACAAGACGTTGTGTGGGAGGTCATTTATTATGGTGTGTATTTATATGTAATTATGTAATAAGTAACTAGACTATTAAAATTTTAAGCCAGTAGCTGACTATACTAAACTTGCACTTATTATAGTATATACTCTTGACTGCTTTTAGTGCCGTTCATATACATCCGTTTAAATTGCCGATATAAAAAAAATTGCTAGTACAACAAAATCAATCAATGGAGTCGATCTCCACCTTATATACTCCCTCCGTCCTCTAATATAAGAGATTTTGACATTTTGCTTGCACAGTTTAACTACCCATCTTATTCAAAACTTTTTTGAATTTATTATTTATTTTTTACTTAATTTATTATTCAAAGTAATTTAAGCACAACTTTTCGTTTTTTATATTTGCACAATATTTTAAATAAGATAAGTGGTCAAATAGTGCAAATAAAATATCAAAAATAGTCGGAGGAAGTAATAGACAGGGATATAGCAAAAAAAAAAATGAAAATAGCCATGCCTGCCACAAAAGTCATGCATTCAGTGCATATGGCCAGACAGCGTACGAAGACGCCTTTCTGCTTTGACTTGACCGACGAAGACGCCTTTCTTCTTCGTCTTGCATCCGGGCTTCCATAATACGAAGCTGCCGGCCGGCCGGCAAGAGCGACGCGCGCGGCAACGGAGACCACATTATCCGATCCGATCTGCCGCGCGCGTGTCGCATATGATCTCCAGGGTATTCTTGCTGCTAGCTAGCTGCTTGGTAAGTGCTCGTCTCTACCTTCCCCTTCCCTATCACCTACATGCGCTTCGACCATTCATAATCCATTCCTTCATCCGGCCGCTAATTGATGCGTTTTGTTGCTTGCAGGTTAATTAAGTTGTTGCAATAGTTAATCACTTCCATGGAATGGGCTTGAATCGACCCAGCTGGTACTGTGGTACATGCCTTCATCTTCTTGTTGTTGTCGTCGTCTTTGTTTATCACTACTCTCTGTTTGTGTGCAACAGCAACCTAGCTTAGTTTTACAAGACATGATGCGATCTACCATGCTAAGTAGGGTGTGTTTAGTTCACGCCAAAATTGTAAGTTTGGTTGAAATTGGAACGATATGACGGAAAAGTTGAAAGTTTATGTGTGTAGGAGTTTCGATGTGATGAAAAAGTTGGAGGTTTGAAAAAAAAGTTTGGAACTAAACAAGGCCGTAGTATATTACGGACCGCCAAATTAAAGTGCTCTCAAAGTTCTAGTGGCAATGCTTGCACCCGCGCTAGCCATGTATGGAGGTTATTTGTGACTCGTTTGATCCAAGGAACATATAGCTTACGGCTCCTTTTAAACGCATGATTTTTACAGGGTTAATTTGGGCCAGCTCTTTTTACGGAAGTTTCAATATGGACTATAGACTAGGGGAAAGACATTAGTTTCACTTTTGACCAAGTAAATTTATAAAATGTTTCAATTTGAACCCCTTCTTCTCCATCCCCCCTCTCTCTCTTCTTGCTTTGGCGCTCCGGGGAGCAAGGACAGGTTGAGCTCGAGCTTGAGCATGACCCCAATGCGTATGAAGGTTGAACTCGAGCTTGAGCATGAGGTCCAAGGACATGCGTATGATTGCGGCCTGCGGGAGCCACCTGAACCACTGAAGGTGGTCAAGGATGTTCGAGCTCAGCTGTTGCTTACCGCGGCATAGCAAAGTCCGGGAGAGAGAGAGAGAGGACAAGGAGAGGATGGAAAAGGTCTAAACTGAAATCTTTAGCAATCTTATCCGGTTCAAAAATGAAAATGAAGTTTTACTCCTAGTCCAAACTGTAACATTGGTAAAAGAAAATGTGGTCCAAAGTGATTTATTGTGGTCCAAACTACAACATTAAAATCTTTTGGCAAATTTTGCTAAAGGACATCTAAAATTTGTGTAATTTACTGATAGACATTGGAAAAATATGTCACGCCGAAAGAAATCTAAAAAAAATCCTAAATTGCTAGAGGAAACTTTCGGTTCAATTAGAGAGATAAATCTTAAGAAAGACGAGAATGGCCCTAGAACCGCATACTTCAATCATGGCGTCAAAATAAAAATTTGAAAATTATGCAACTCTAAATTTACCATCACTATTTACCATCACTCCAAGTACATCACTAGCATAAATCATATTCCATCTTCATTCTATCCTAAGCTCAAAAGCTTTTGACCATAAGGGCATTCTTATCTTTTTGAAGAATTTCTTTCTCCAATTGAGCCGAAAAAGTTCTTTACCAAATTACTAGTTTTTTCGAGTGTCTTTGAACCAACCAGCGAATTACACAAATTTTTGAGTTCCTTGTGCCTAGACATTTAAACCAAGAGATAATCCAAGAAATGTCATTAACAATTGTCCAAATCCAAAAAATGCAATCGATAAGTGTGAGTTCCAAGAAATGCCATTGTAAATGACTTTGTCCTAAAAATGCCACCGCCGTTAGGTTAATGGCACGGAATGGCCGGAAACCTAACGGCGATGGTATTTTTGGGAAAAAAAATCTTTTGTACGATGGCATTTCTTGTAATTCACACTTGTTGATGGCATTTATTAGATTTGGACGCTTGTCAATGACATTTTTTTATTATCTCTTAAACCAATTATCTTAGACAATTGACATTCAATACAGTGCACGATGTTTCTCAAGGGAAAACAAAGGTATTTTGCACTAACTTGAGTCATGTGTCACTGACCCAAAAAATTTAGAAATATAGCAAATTGGCTTTAAAATATCAACATTTTTGGGGTGCTATCTTTATTGAGAAGTAATTCTGAAAATATTTTTAGATTTGTTGTGTGCACCAATTTGATCTCGTAAAATCATTTTTTGCAAATGCTTCTTTTTGAAAAAAGATTTGTTTGAATTTGCAACCAAAAAAAGTAGAGCCATATGCACCAAATTGTTAAAATTTTAGTTTGAATATGATTTATAGAATAACAAATTTAGGATGTATTAGAAGTGCATTTAGTCAATGCAAAAACACCTTGGCTTCGCCTCAATCTTTAGGGTCAGAAATTAAACTATCGAAAAAGTTGAGAGACATGAAGTAGACAATCCTTTATAAAGACCAAACCAGTTTTAAAATTAAATTCAGGGAAAAAGACTAAATGGTAATGGAATTTAAAGTGTAAAGCAAACCTGATAAGAAGTTAGAAACCAATGAAAAGCCTGTCATAGGCATAGCCTGTAGCATATTTTATTGCATTTTAATTCTATACAGCTATATACACTGACAAATTCTGATGGCTCGTTTATCTTTTTCTGTGGAACATAGAGCAATAATCCTGAGTAATTTGGTTCAACATTCTCAAATGGCAGCGCTGGGGACAAGGTCCTAGTGGTTCTGGTTCACAATAGTCAGGGAACTGCTACACAATGTTTACTATTCTGAAATTGCTTCCAATGCTATATATGCTGCTAATGGCATCTACCGAATATGCTCAAGCATTCAGCAATGAGACTGATCTGGATGCTCTGCTAGCATTCAGAGCAGGTCTAAGCAACCAGTCAGATGCACTGGCCTCATGGAACGCAACCACTGACTTCTGCCGGTGGCATGGTGTCATTTGCAGCATCAAGCATAAGAGAAGGGTCTTGGCACTGAATCTGTCCTCAGCAGGGCTTGTTGGCTACATAGCCCCATCTATTGGGAACCTCACATACCTCAGAACTCTAGACCTCAGCTACAATCTGCTGCACGGTGAAATCCCTCCAACAATTGGGCGATTGTCGCGAATGAAATATCTCGACCTGTCAAACAATTCACTCCAAGGTGAAATGCCTTCGACAATTGGGCAGCTGCCATGGTTATCGACACTCTACATGTCAAACAATTCGCTCCAAGGTGGGATCACACATGGCTTGAGGAACTGCACTCGCCTCGTGAGCATAAAACTTGACCTGAACAAACTCAATCGTGAGATCCCTGATTGGCTTGACGGATTGTCGAGGATCAAGATCATGTCACTAGGGAAGAACAACTTCACTGGGATCATCCCACCGTCACTCGGCAACCTCTCGTCGTTAAGGGAAATGTATCTCAATGACAACCAGCTCAGTGGACCAATCCCTGAGAGCCTTGGTAGGCTCAGTAAGCTTGAGATGCTGGCACTGCAAGTAAACCATCTCTCAGGGAACATCCCAAGAACGATCTTCAACCTGTCCTCACTTGTTCAGATTGGTGTGGAGATGAACGAACTGGACGGCACACTGCCCTCCGATCTTGGCAACGCCCTACCAAAAATTCAATACCTTATCCTTGCCCTGAACCATTTGACAGGAAGCATTCCAGCTTCAATTGCAAATGCAACCACAATGTACTCCATAGATCTCTCAGGTAACAACTTCACTGGCATTGTGCCTCCAGAGATCGGGACGCTCTGCCCAAACTTCCTGTTGCTCAATGGGAACCAGTTAATGGCAAGCAGGGTGCAGGACTGGGAGTTCATCACTTTATTGACAAATTGCACTAGCCTCCGGGGTGTCACACTCCAAAATAATAGGCTTGGGGGTGCATTGCCGAACTCTATCGGTAACCTATCGGAGCGCCTCCAACTACTGGATCTTAGATTTAATGAAATTTCTAACAGAATACCAGATGGCATTGGCAACTTCCCTAAACTAATTAAGCTAGGGCTCTCTAGCAACCGGTTTACAGGCCTCATACCTGACAACATTGGAAGGTTGACAATGCTCCAGTTCTTGACACTAGACAATAATCTATTGTCTGGGATGATGGCATCCTCGCTTGGGAACTTGACACAATTGCAGCATCTTTCTGTAAATAATAATAACCTGGATGGTCCTCTTCCAGCAAGTCTTGGAAACTTACAAAGGCTTGTCAGTGCAACATTTTCTAACAATAAGCTTTCAGGTCCACTGCCTGGAGAGATCTTTAGCCTATCATCCTTGTCATTCGTTCTGGATTTGTCTAGGAACCAATTTAGTAGTTCTCTTCCATCTGAGGTTGGCGGTCTCACAAAGCTCACATACTTGTATATGCACAATAATAAGTTAGCTGGGGCGCTGCCAGATGCTATAAGCAGTTGCCAGAGCCTGATGGAACTTCGTATGGATGGCAACTCCTTGAACAGTACCATCCCGGTGTCTATAAGTAAAATGCGAGGTTTGGAACTGCTAAATTTGACCAAGAACAGCCTCACTGGTGCAATTCCAGAGGAATTAGGACTCATGAAAGGCCTGAAGGAACTATACCTTGCACACAATAACTTGTCTTTACAAATCCCTGAAACCTTCATAAGCATGACGTCACTATACCAACTAGACATATCCTTCAATCATCTTGATGGTCAAGTTCCAACACATGGTGTGTTTTCCAATTTGACGGGATTCCAATTTGTTGGGAACGACAAGCTTTGTGGTGGTATTCAAGAGCTGCATTTGCCCTCATGCCGAGTAAAGTCTAATCGAAGGATACTTCAAATTATCCGAAAAGCAGGGATTCTGAGTGCTAGTGTCATTTTGGTGTGCTTCATATTGGTACTTCTGGTCTTCTATTTGAAGAAGAGATTGAGGCCTCTGTCATCGAAAGTAGAAATAGTTGCTTCTTCTTTCATGAATCAAATGTATCCTCGAGTTTCTTATTCTGACTTGGCCAAAGCAACAAACGGCTTCACATCCAACAATTTGGTTGGCACAGGGCGGTATGGATCTGTTTACAAGGGTACAATGCGGTTCAAGAATTCAGTATCTGACGTAGCTGTGAAGGTTTTCGATCTTGAGCAATCTGGTTCTTCTAAGAGTTTTGTAGCAGAGTGTAAGGCACTAAGCAAAATTCAACACCGGAACTTGGTTGGTGTCATAACTTGCTGCTCTTGCCCTAATTTGAACCAAAATGACTTCAAAGCCCTTGTGTTCGAGTTCATGCCTTATGGTAGTCTTGATAGGTGGATACATCCAGACATAGATCCATCAAGTCCAGTCGAAGTTCTTACGTTAATGCAGAGATTGAATATTGCTCTTGATATTGGTGCTGCACTGGACTATTTGCACAACAACTGCCAGCCAGCAATAGTTCATTGCGACTTAAAGCCCAGCAACATTCTTCTTGGGGATGGCATGGTTGCTCATGTTGGGGATTTTGGCCTTGCAAAGATTCTTACAGATCCAGAAGGTGAACAACTGATCAATTCAAAGAGTTCTGTGGGGATAATGGGTACAATTGGATATGTTGCTCCAGGTAAATCACATTTTTGCTGCAGTAGTTATTGTGCTTTGACAGGAATTGCTAATGTCGCATATGCATTGCAGAATATGGAGAAGGTGGTCAAATTTCTCCATACGGTGATGTCTACAGCTTTGGTATATTGCTCCTTGAGATGTTTACAGGTAAGGCGCCTACACATGACATGTTCAGTGATGGATTGACCTTGCAGAAATATGCGGAAATGGCATATCCAGAACTACTGATAGATATTGTTGACCCCCTTATGCTATCAGTTGAGAATGCATCGGGAGAAATCAACAGTGTCATTACTGCTGTCACAAGACTCGCACTAGTATGCAGCAGGAGGAGGCCAACTGATAGGTTATGCATGAGAGAAGTTGTAGCTGAGATACAGACAATTAGGGCTTCCTATGTTGAAGAAATAAACAAAATAGTTTCTGACTGATGCAACATTAGTGCGCCGTTTGATTTTTTAGCTTCATAAAAGGTGTTAACTGCATAATATCGGCAAAAGAAATGTAACACACAGTACTCTTCTGTTAGGCACTCATTGATTTTAAGACCAAGTACAGGATCAATATTTTTTGCTGATGTAATCCATTTATTGGTGATCCCAAACCATTAGCAATCAATGGTGCTAATTTTCACACATTACTTATTGACAGGGTTAGAAGGTGTGCAGTTCTTTACTTTATGGAGTATCAAGTTTTTGCAAGTGCGCATGACAGTAGATATATTACCATCCAAGAAATTCATTTGTATAGTTTTTAATAGTGTATCATGTATTCGTGTTCATGCCTAAACAATTGGGCTGCAAACCCGCATGGGCATTAATTTTATTTATATATATTCTTATCCTTTTCACAAAAGATATAGATGCAGTTCTTTTGATTGCTCTGAAAAACATATAATTCCTGCAAAGAACTATGCTGGAAAAATGTAAACATTAAGCCTAGTACTTTTATCAGATTCACTTGCGAAGCCCATTCTTCATAGCAGGCATGAACTCTATCTTTCTGTAAGATATTAACAACACCGGATAATACTAACACACACATAGCATTTGAATGGTGATAAACAGAGAGTTCTGACTGGCAGATGCAACACTGGAACAGGAAAGTGGAAAATCAAAATCATGTATGACGTTATATTTTACTGTGAAGTACTACTTTAGAACAACAAAGTAAACAAAGGGGAGCAGATTCGCACCTTTTGTTGGTCAAAAGGGGAGCATATGCCCTAAGCTTTCATTCCTTCCTGCCTTCTCTCTTCCCATATACTCCCTCCGTTTCACAATGTAAATTATTCTACCATTTCTCACATTCACATTGATGTTAATGAATCTATACATATATATCTATTTAGATTCATTAATATCAATGTGAATGTGGGAAATGCTAGAATGACTTACATTGTGAAACGGAGAAAGTATATTGCTACCTTTGCAATCTGCAAATAAGAAGGCAGGTAGGGTCTCCTCAACACAGCCAAATTTACTCTCAGATATTTAACATGCTTCTACACTACCTGCAAGACTGCAACCATTGTGTTCATAGCACGAAAATGCATTTCATTTTCCAGAGCGCTGGCCGCTGAGGGAGCTATGAACTTTTTTCCCCGATCTAAAACTGAAATGCCATTCCAGTAAAGCCATGCTACAGTAAATACTAGCACACTAAATCGACAGCACGGTAGATCAACGCGATGAAGTCTTAGTTCTTCCTCAAATCCAACGATAGAACGCAGGTCAAGCCAAGGCCGTGCACCGAAGAACGGATTCCGGACGAGTCAGTAGCGGCGAATCGGAGGGCACCACCGAGGCAATCAGGAATTGGGGGAAATAGTAACTTGCTGCGCAGAAACGAACAGCGGGTTTTCACCTCGCGTCGGGGCCTCGAGGGAGAGAAGATCACCTCGTCGGAGAAGAAGCTTCCGACCTGGTCTGTAGCGGCGGAGTAGCTCGCCGTCGCCGGAGTTCCGGTGCCCTGGACCCGGAAAGCAAAAGCTTTGATTTAGGTCTAGTTTTGTTTGGGCCTTACGGCCCGCTCGCTGTAATGGATCCGACCCATCTGCAAGGAGAAAATGGACATTTAGCCCAGTTCAAAACAGGGTTTCGCTAGATTGCCATCCCAAAAACGTGTTTCCCTAAAATGCTAATATGAAGCGCTCGTACTCACCGCCACTTTGCCATTTTAGCTTTTTTGTGCATTTTCGAAATCATTTTCGCTTCTTCAGTGGGTAATGAGACGAAATTACTTCCATCCTTCCCCTTCCGTGGTGGCAGCCCTGGTAGCGCCGCCGGATGAGCCCACCGCCGCTACCGACGAGGGCATCTGGGTGCGCGGGTGCATGGAGCGATGAAACCACCGGTGGCTGCCCCTACCCGCCGCCACCGGACGGCACCGACGAGGCGAAAGCGAGGTCGTCGAGGAGGCCTCGCGGTGGTGGTGGCTTGCGCTCCAGCTCACCAGCAACTGTTGCTGCCTCTCCACCATGTCCCCCTCCGCCTCCGTCACCGGTGAGGTTCGCCAGCAGCTGCTGCTACCTCTTCACCACGTTCCCCTCAGCCTTCGTCGCCGGCGAGGCTTGAAAGATCTATGCACTAGAGTTGCCTTGTAAGGGGAGATTGGAATATCTATGATCCTAAGAGTGTGGTGATTATTTTGGTGATTAATGACAACCCATTGTTGGAACTATCTATTTCCATGAGTTGGTGAGATTAGGTTAAGTTCCGGCATCAAGTTAAAAGATTGAAGCTAGAAGATGGACATTATACCTTGATGAGGAGCAAGTGAAGACATTGATGATGCAAGGTATGAAATGGCTATCTATGGCAAACCGGTGAAGAGAAAGCAAGGCTCGGCTAGAAGATGGACATTATACCTTGATGAGGAGCAAGTGAAGACATTGATGATGCGGGGTATGAAGTGGCTATTTATGGCAAAATGGTGAAGGGCAAGCAAGGCTCGACTACAATGGACCATGCGGGGGGTGAAGGGCAAGCAAGAGGCTTGGCACCGATGGACCGAATCCGGTGGTGAAGGGCGAGTGAAGGCTTTGTCATGATGGTCATGATGGACCGTGCGAGGCCATTTGAAGCTATGAATAATCCTATCAATTATTAGAAGACCGCAAGATGGAATGCCGAAGATCAAGAGGATGTGGTTCTCCAATGAACATCAAGTCAAAAGCCAAAATGGGCATTTATCAAGGCAAAGGTATAATTGATTTGGGACTAATATGCTTAATGAGTGTAGGTGAGAATAGTCCCAATAGTGAAATGGCATTGACGTTGACAACCCTCAAGGTGAAGCAAGAAGAGGACATTCTTAGTGGTGTATTAGTCCCAGGTTGCTTAGGAGTGGGCTAGGATGCTTGGAGACCCTCGAAAACAAAGCGGCAAGAAGACTTGGAGCCGAGTTAGACTAGTTTACCTTTTCGCTTTGAGTTTAAGAAAAACCGTACTATTAAGAGGGGTTCCAAGTGTGGTTCTAAGATAACACAAGTGCTCTTAGTGGTGTCCAAGTGTTGAAATATTTTTAGGAGCTATTTTTGAAAATGGCTCTACCCGGGACAGAGAGTCCCACCCGGAGGTTCTGTCCGGAACTTCCTGGCGCCAAGGTGAGGTTGAAAAATTTTCTAAGTGTTGCCCGGAAGTTCCTAGCACCCAGGCCCGGAACCTCCTAGCAACCCTCCAGTTCAAATATGTGAGTAACGGCTAGATGACGTCACCTAGCCGTTATATATAGCCAACTCGACTCCAGCTCATTCTTTGGCCATTCCACTTTAGTTCTTGTGTTCCCTAGCTTGTTCTAGCCTCTCCCAATGTGATTTTGCTTCCCCCACCCAAATCTTGTGTATTTCTTGAGTGAGAGAGTGATTTTGAGGGTGGTGGTGAGGATTGGAGAAGGTTTTGAAGGCTAGGATGACTTGAGCACTTGGGGTATCTCGTTGGGCTGTCATTTGGAGCTTGTTACTCTTGGAGGGTGACCTCCTAGACGGTTAGGTGTCGCCCGCGAGTTTCCAACAAGGTTGTGGATTGACCCGGGCAAGTTTGTGAGGGCGTTATTCCACCTCCGAAAGGAAACGGAATACACGGGGAGTGAATTCCGAGCTGAGGTTTAGGAGGTCGTCTTGGTAGAGCAAGCCTCACTTGTGGTGTTCTTTTGGTGTTCAAGTTGGGGATCTTAGTGGTCACTTGAAACCAAAGAGAAGTACCTAGGGGTGTTGGCTTGAAGACCGGAGACCTCTTCCTAGGCCTTTTCTTGGTGAGGCAAGGGGTTAATCAAGACCCGGCTCTTTGAAGCTCCTCAACGGAGACGTAGGATTCTCAGTGGAGAATCTGAACTTCGGGAAACAAATCGTTTGTCTCCTCTCACTCTCTTTATCTTTGTGATTGTGATGCTTATCTCCTTATTTGCCTAGTTGTGCTATCATGTCTCCCATTGTATGATCACTTGTGATATCTTGTGTATTTTCATGTGTATTACTCTTGTTTGAGACATGTTGTACCTCTCTATGGTTTAGACTTCCTTGTGATTTAATTTACTTATTGTGAGGTGCTCGAAAGAGTAACTCACAACTCCCCGGAAGTTCCTAGGAAGAACCCCGGAAGTTCCGGGCAACTTTCTTTGCTCAGCATAAAAAGCTGCCAGGAAGTTCCGGGCCTTTTGCCAGGAAGTTCCGGGCCCTGATTTTAACCGCTGCAATTTGAAGTAAATTATAGGAACGCCTATTCACCCCCCCTCTAGGCGACATAAAGGTCCTTTCAAGGCTCGCCAATAGCTACTGCTGCCTCTCCATCGCGTCCCCCTTCGCCTCCGTCACCGGCGAGGCCATGGGGCCGCCTCGAAACCCTAGCCACCGTCGTCGACCGCGGCGAAGCGACCTCGTCGGAGACCGTCGGCGACCGCAGCAAGGTAGTCGGCGGAGGTGGCGAGGTCGAGGGAGGGGAAGATGTCGGAGGACTTGCCGGCCACCTCACCATCTGGGCTCTCCCATATAGCACCGTTCTGGATGCCATCCATGGAGGAGGACGAGGAGGAAGACGGTGAGCTGCTCGTGGTGGACATGGAGATGGCCGGCGAGGACAAGCTCCTCTTCCTCAATGGCGGCGGCGGAGGACATGAAGGGCAATTTTGTCTCATCATCTGGTGGAGAAGCGAAAATGATTTCGAAAATACATAAAAGGGCCAAAATGGCAAAATGGCAGTGAGCACGCGTTTCATAGTCATTTTAGTTAAACGCGTTTTCGGAATGGCATTCTAGTGAAACCCTGTTTTAAACGTGGCTAAATATCCATTTTCTCATCTGCAAGTGGCCGTTATGCTGAACTGAACCCAGTTTTGTACCATCACGCATTTGAAGTATTAAATATATACTAATAGCAAAACAAATTTCGCATGTAAACTGCGAGACGAATTTATTAATTAAGCCTAATTAATCCATCATTAGCAAATATTTACTGTAGCACCACATTGTCAGATCATGGAGCAATCAGGCTTAAAAGATTCGTCTCGCAATTTTCACGCAATCTGTATAATTAGTTTTTTTCCTATATTTCATACTCCATGCATGTGCCCAAACATTCGATGTGGCAGGGTGAAAAATTTTTCATGTTTCTAAACAGGCCTCAATAACTGAACTCTTTACTAACAATCAACCGAAATCATTTAACCACTCCATTTTTTTCCACAAAGGGTGTGTTTAGTTCCTACCAAAATTAAAAGTTTGGTTGAAATTAGAATGATGTGATGAAAACGTTAAAAGTTTATGTATGTAGAAAAGTTTTAATGTTATGAAAAAATTGAAAGTTTGAAGAAAAAGTTTTAAACTTAAGCTCGGCCAAAATGGTTGTCCGTCTCATAGTCTTATCCACATTTATTTGCTGCTACACCATGCAAAATGACGGAGAAAAGAAGCTGGCCTTGGACCGGTCTGAAAGAGTTAATGAGTGATTCCACGGTCGAGTCAAGCGAACACGTCTGACGCAAATTAAATGCGAGTAGATAGATTAGGGATGGACAATAATGGAGGGTTTGCACTTTGCAGAAATGAAACAAACACCATGAAATTGAAACATCGCATAAGGCTGTGCTTAGTTTCACGTTAAAATTGAAAGTTTAAAAAAATTGAAACGATGTGATGGAAAAGTTAGAAGTTTGTGCGTAGGAAAGTTCGATGTGACAGAAAAGTTAAAAGTTTAAAGAAAAAGGCCGTGTTTAGATTCCAAAAAATTTTGGCCACAAACATCACATCAAATGTTTGACACATGTATGGGACATTAAATGTGGAAAAAAAAACAATTGAACCATTTATATGTAAATTGCGAGATGAATCTTTTGAGCCTAATTTCACTATGATTTGACAATGTGACAGATTAATTTGCTAATAACAGATTAATTAGGCTTAATAAATTCGTCTCACAATACAGGTGGAATCTGTAATTTATTTTGTTATTAGTCTATGTTTAATACTACAAATGTACGTCTGTATACTTGAAAACTTTACACCCAAAGAACTAAACACACCCTAAACAAAATTACCTACTCAGTATTACCAATACAATTTTGCTATGCGCTGTCGACAAATAATTGAGGAAGAAATCTGCAAAATTATCTAAGAATTACCAATATGATTTTGCTACACGTCTATTGACAAATATTTTTCTCCCTTTTTATTCTCGATTATGCTTTAAGATTCATGTAGATAAAACAGGTTCAAAAAAGGACTTAAAAAAAGTAAATTACATACTGGGACACTTTTTTTTACGACCCTTTCAATTTGGGTCACGGATATATCTACATTTCTACATTTTACCATATAAATATAGAAAAGTTTCACCTTGGCTTTGTTCTTGTACCTGCAGTTCCCTCTCTCCTCTCTCTCTCTCTCTTCTCTCTCTATCTCTCTTCCGTCAATGGTAGGAAGACCGAAGACCCACACCACTAGTGAGTAGGTCAAGCAGCCACTGCTACCGCTGCGCCGTGCTAGCGCCGAAGCTCCGCCAACACCAATGTTAGGGCCGTGTGCTTGGAATGGACCTCTATCAATTTCTCCACCTTGGTTTGCACTAAACCATCCCCTGCACTTGTTTGCAGGGTTCGACATTTCGGACTGAATTTTGAAAATTTTGGTTATTTTGGACCCTCCGATACAATATTATTTTGGCCGAAATTTTTAATTTTTTGTAATTTGTCATGAACTTGGTAATATTTATTCAAATTTAACTAAATTTTGTTTCAAATTTCAGAATGAAATTTCGCCATGTCAGAGAACCGCATGATACAAACACCGAAAATGAAAAGTTGAACCCTACTTGTTTGTCTCGGCGTCTCGGCCACGTTGATCTCCACACTGTTAGGTACATGGTCGGCTTGTAGTTGTTGGCAGGGTTTCCCAAACCGCCGGGGCTAGGGTTACCGTGCCCCGGTGGTAAGCACGGTAACCATGAAAAATCGTAAAAAAAACCGTGCAAAATTTATTAAAAATTCAAATTATTTTTTAAATTTATTTGGATTTAAGGAGGTTACTGCGGTTTTTCTATTACCATACCCCGTGGTAAAGCCGGTAACTACGGTAACCGCGTGGTTACTGACGGTAATGTAAACCCTGGTTGTTGGTCGCCTTCCTGATACCTGATGGAGAGGATCAGACCGGTTTACTACCCGATCATCATGGTGATCATCTTTCTGATGCGGCAGTGTAGTTCGCTGATGGTTTTGTGATATGGACAGAGGAGGAGAGAGCTGAGGTAGATCAGAATCAGCCAAACTAAAGCAACTAGCTACTAATGACAAAGATAAGTGGTTTAAAGTGAAAAGGTGTGTTTTATTACCCTAGTTCAACTTGAAACAATGGTAAAAAGAGTGATCCAAAATACAATATAATTTACTAAAAAAAATTAGAAACATGTGTAGAGTGATCCAAGACTTAGGCAATGCTCACTCACATTCTCCTCCGCTGAGCTACACCTACAAGCCTACAACACATGTTTTTTGTATTTCTAAAACAAACATGTGTTTTTTTATTACTCACAATGTAATTTCATGTAATATATAGATAGTCTTTCTTTCAATATAAGAATTTTTTCCCCAGAAAGTTATGAGTTGCTTCGGAGACAGATACCTTGGATTTGCTCCAGGTCCTTATCCTAGTTTAGGGCCTGTATAGTTCGCGAAAAGAAATTTTTTGGGTGTCCATCGGTTATTTGACCAGATGTCGGAAGGAGTTTTCGGACACGAATGAAAAAATTAATTTCATATCTTGCCTGGAAACCACGAGACGAATCTTGTGAGTCTAATTAATCCGTGATTAGCATATATGGGATTACTGTAGCACTTATAGCTAATCATGGATTAATTAGGCACAAAAGATTCATCTCGTGGTTTTCATCCTAACTATGCAATTAATTTTTGAAATCTATATTTAATACTCTATAGATGTGTCAAAGATTCGATGTTATGTTTCGGGGAAAAATCTTTGTGGGAAACTAAACCAGGCCTTATAAAAGAGCCACCAAAGCCTGCGCGTAATCGATGAACGCAAGCAGCTAGCTCGCTAGCTACACGTACGCACGCATCAACCACCACAACAACCATGCCGCATCCCAATATTGCTGCTAGCTGCTCCCCCTCCTGCTTGCTCCTCGCCGTAGCCGTCACCTTCTTCTCGGCTACAGCCAGCATCTCCCATGGCGCCGCCCATCACGCGCGGCGCGTGCCCGCACCGCCGGCGGCGTGCGTGGCGCGCGAGAGGGACGCGCTGCTGGCCTTCAAGCAGCGCGTCACCGCGCGCGACCCAGCGAGCGCTATCTCGTCGTGGCGGCGAGGGGAGGCCGCTGCAGACTGCTGCCAGTGGGACGGTGTCGAGTGCGACAGCCGCACCGGCCGTGTCATCGGCCTCGACCTCGCCAATCGCGAGTTCGATGGTAGGACGGGCGTGCTCGATGACCAGGTGTCTCTTGTTGGTGACATAAGCCGCTCTTTGCTCTCTCTGGAGCACCTGAGTGACCTCCAACTCGGCTGGAATTTCCTGGAGGGGCGCACTGGTCGTCTCCCGGACTTCCTTGGCTCTTTCAAAAGGCTGGAATCTCTTGGCCTCACCGGCATACCATTTTCTGGCACCGTGCCTCCTAAGCTCGGTACGTTAATAATATTTTATTTCAAACCAATTCTTATTAATTACTTACATTAATCTATTATCACTAAATTAAATATTTAGCTAAATAAGTAAGGACGTAAATTAGTAGCATTGGTGTGGGTAGCGCGCCGTGAACACTGTAGCAAACGCGGGATCCGTATGGCAGTGGACGCAGCAGTGGACCGGGAAAGCTGAGTACTCCCTATGTCCCAATACAACACGGTTCCTGGATTCCGGTTAGAGTATGTATCCAATATATGTACAGAGTCTGTTACAGTTTAGAAATTGGAGTTGTACTAAGTACATTGAAATAGAGTCGGACTCTTTATTATAGGATATCACTTAAATAGAGGGATGGACATGTTATAACCGTATGGCAACTTAGCATGGCGAAATAGAGCGGCTGCCGACGGCATCCGGCCGAGGGTCATTGTAACTCTAATACGCTGTAATATGGTGGATCGGAGAGGAGCGCCCGTAATCAGTGCCCCGGGGATATAGGCTTCGGCTGAACCTCGTTAACAAATATTGTGCCTGGTGTCGTCATCATGTTTGGATCTCCTATGACGTCTTTTCCATGTTTGGTTACTAATGTGACTTCGGGGCCACGATTTTGTAACATTCCCAATGCAGAATTAGTAGTACCAACAAAATCAAGTACATCCATGAATAAGGTTTACTAGTTGAAAAAGGAGAGAGATTAAGCATTTCTCATGTCAACATGAGCAGAGAGAGGTAGCAAAATTCGATGTTTCTAGTTCTTTGCGCAGAAATCGTTTTATACTGGGACAACTTCTCCACTCTAGAAATCGTCTTTTCTCATAAGGGCATCCACAATGTGTTGAGAAACCAGGTAATAGGCATTCAATGCTCCTCTACAACCTGGTAATAGCCATTGTGGAACCAGTAAATAAGTAGTACCGGGTAGTATGCTTACTACCGATAGCAAGGGAATAAATAATGTTGTTTACACAATCGAGACAGAGAGAGTACAGGATGAAAGCATCTTTACTTATGAATGGTTGAGGGTTGGAGAATATTTTATTGGTGGACCCCACCTTGAAATCTCATACACATTGTGCTGCCTGCATACAACTACTACCTCTGACCCAAAACCTGATACTAATGCTCACTTCAATTTTATACATTGGTGTTGCCCTAACAAAGGGAGTAAGGGCATGCCCAATTTTATGACCAAGTTCGGTAATAACATGGGCCCGCGTGCCTGGTGGTAGTAGCAGGATATGAACTCCATATTGTTTGTGCGGGGCACACTATAAAAACTCACCAATCCTGAGCTACGGTGACTCCTTCGTACAAGAAAACAATCCGCTGATACTCATTGACATTGTACAAATAACATAACTTATTCTTTGTTTCCATTAGTAGCCATATGACCGAGTAGTAGTTATTCATCACTCTCACAATACTTGTTGTTAACAGGAGAAGATTTAATGCTTACTACCTACTCCCTCTGTCCCATAATATAAGGGATTTTGAGTTTTTGCTTGTACTGTTTGACCACTCGTCTTATTCAAAAATTTTTGGAATTATTTTTTTTTTGACTTACTTTATTATCAATGTACTTTAAGCACAAATTTTCGTTTTCTATATTTGCACAAAATTTTTGAATAAGACGAGTGGTCAAACAATACAAGTAAAAAAACTCAAAGTCCCTTATATTATGGGACGGAGGGAGTAGTATTTTACCACGTTGTGGATGCCCTAAGCTATTAGTCGTGCGCTAGCTGCTTATGCACGCGATAAGATGGATCTCTGTCTTTTTCTTATGGGCCAGGGTGTTAATTTGGTCGGGCCATGTACTTTCTATTTTATTTTAGGCTAATTTGTAGGCTACACTCCTTTAGATGGCCCATAGGTTGCGCATGGGTCTTATCTTTTCTTTTCTTGGACTTGGCTCATTTTATAAATTTTATCTTTTTAAAGCACAGTACATACGTGGGCCAAATATGTATGGAAATGGGCTAGTGTCACACCCCGATCCGGCACCGCCGTACAACGGCACCTGATAGGAGAGTGTCGTAGGAAAAACGGCGCGAACCGCTTCCTACGAAACCGCGATCATAGTACCAGTCCCAGGACATAGCGCTGGTACCCACGATGACAAATATGAATCATTGCAATCCTTAAATTAAATAGAGGACTTATTTACCTTAACTTAGGTTGCAGCTCAGGACAGCCTGAGAACACAACCGACGACGCGGACGAGGAAACACCAACAGCAGCAGCAGCAGCGGAACCAACGAAACTAACACCCAACACCACAGGCGACAGCTGGGAACCAGGACGGAACCCTAATCTTCGCTTCACTTCATCTTCTCTTCAAGACGGAGATATATATATATATATATATATATATAGTGAATCTATTCTACACCCCCCTTTCCCATGGGCCAATCCCACCTCCCCCACCCTTCCTAGGGCCCAAATCTCCCCTCCCACCTCAATCAAAGTCTGGTCAAAGCCCCATCCCGCCGGTCAAACCTCGGTCAAAACCTCCCATTGACTCCCTCCCACGCCCACCACTTTGATGTTCACGTCTCGCAGGAATTCCGCAGTGACATAACGGTCATCGTGCAGTAACAGGACAACTTTCTCGCAGTACCAACATCGAAAAATAGTCATAATGGATCTAGTTTTGTTAAGCACTTTTTTACGAACATCATGGTGCAGATAGATTAGAAAAATACTATATAACGTGAGAGATATTGCTCTCTAAAGATTGGGATTTACTTTTTTTAGTTCTCGTGTCACTGGAAAGGCGTAGTAACGCAACGATCAATGTGCAGTAACATGACTAGTTTCCGCAGTAACAATGTTATAAAATCATTTTTGTGTCGATCATCGTGTAGTAACATGACTATTGTCTCGTTGTAACGTCGTTTTACAGCGTTATGGTGAAAACGGTTCTAAAAAATAATATGCGATGTGAGAGATATTATTGTTTAAAGATTAGAATTCTAAAAGTTTACTTGTACTAAGCTTGCTACTACATATCTTTGTATGGACAAAGAAAAGTACTTTTAGCACATGTATTAACTTGTGACCATGAACATGCACTTTTTTAGCACTTGTATTTTGCACAAGATGGATATTTTAAAATTTAGCTATGCACAAGTACCACAGTGGTACTGTAGTAGTACCAATACTACCATATGTTCTCTGTTACTGTAATTTCGTCATGATGTTACTGCAAAAAGTGCAGTAACGACCTATACATTGCGCAGTAACCGCCTATAAATTTCGCAGTAACATATCGTGTTACTGCAGTTCTGCGATAATGTTACTACCTAATCATAGTAACAAGATATGACTTCCTATAGTAACATAACGGGGTTGTGTTCATAAAATTTGAACAGATATATACAGAAAGAAAAATAATGATCTCAAATCAAAATGTGTTATAAGGCGGATTGGTTAGGGGAGTTTGTTATGAACCATGAGATCATGGGTTCTAAAAACGAAAATAGAAATGAAAATGAGAGATTGGAGAGAAAAAACGAAGAAAAGAAAAAAAAGAAGGGGGAGAGAGAGAGATCGGGATGGGGAGGAGGAGGAGAAATGGCGAAGGAAAAAAAAGGAGAGAGGGAGAGAGAAATCGGGATGGGGAGGAGGAGAAAAAGCGAAGAAAAAAAGAGAGAGATCGCGCTAGGGAGGAGGAGGCGGGTCCGGGCGCACGGGCGCGCGACCGCTCGCGCTGGGAGGAGGAGGGGGGCGGGCGCTGGGGAGGCAGGGCCGGGCGCGGATCAGGAGGGAGGTGGAGCCGCGCGTGATAGGGGAGGGAGGGATGGGCTTGGTAGTTAGGCTGATGGGGAAGGAGGGATGGACTTGGTAGTTGGGCTGATGGGGAGGGGGTGTAGAATAGTTATTCTAAGGGAGGGGTATATAATAGAGATACTATATATATATATATATAGAGAGAGAGAGAGAGCGCAAGGGTGAGTACTTTCGTACTCAGCAAGCCATGGGAATTATGTGTTTAATGCAGGCTTCAAAGGAAAGGCTGCTTGTTTTCACAATTGATTTTAGTTAAACTCTTTTTTTTTAAACGACTAAGTGAGTGCTTCTCAAACGACACGGATGAGACAGTGCGTCTCGTCCAGTCGGAGTATGTGCAATGTATCAGTCTTTGAATTGATCAAGGTTGGCACCCGGCCAACAGCTTTCAAACGGCCACCCAGGCCTGGTTGATCCCATCAGCCATAGATTTTCCCAACATCGAACCCTTTCCATAACAGCAGTTTCACAAAGTAGTAGTCAAACAAAAACTACGCTAGGAATCACCTCACATCCGCCCATGACCGTGGGCACGGCTGTTCGAATAGTTTAATAACCTCTGCAGAGGGGGTACACTTTACCCACACGACGTTACTAGCCTTGGTCACCTAGCCCGTGTGGATCAGACACATCTGGTGACTTGGGGCTTTCACGACAAGGCATTTCGAAAGCCGACACAGGTTCACCATATGCCAACGAGAGGGGTCCCAGACCGACATTAGGTTAGGTCCCAGACCATACTGTGCCAGGAAGCCCGGGGGTTCTCCCCGGCACCACCCCGTTGAATCCACATGTCTCTTGGCATCATGGCTCCCCTGATTAGCTAATTACTCAGCCATGGGTGTCCCATTCCACCCATATGGTCGCACTTGCCTTATGTTCAGATGAAATTCCAAGGAAACGGTCCTTAAGTGCAAGAGCGGGAAACCGTACTCCCGGTACGTTCCCCGGTCCGCGATTTTGGAAATTCATTTAGTTCGCAAGCACCGACCCAGGTGTCGGGTTTTCCAAGTCTTTTGTAAAACCCCAAGTTTTACCCATCGTTGGATATTTTAAATTTGAGGGGAGGTGTTCCGATGCGCGTGCCCAAAGGCCCGTGCATCGAAGCAAAACAGTCGACAAAGGAGGTTTAAGTGTTCAATAATTCAAGGAGGGTAATTGCAGCAATTAGGATTGGGGCCGGAAGGCTATCTCGCAAGCCGTGGCCGAATTACTCGTGTTAATCCTATTCATGCAATATTTGCGGAAAAGAAATACTTAGTTTTAAATTATAGCTGCAAGATGATCAAAGGTGATTTGCCTTGCTCAATGTCTTCATTGAGCTTCACGAATCTTCGAGAAAACCCGCGATTAACGAAAATCCAGTAACCTCAACTATACGCAAACAATCAAAACCTAAACAAAAGACCAAAAGAAAGATCCTATTTAGGCTAATTTAGTAGTGCCATTAGATAGATCTCAATTTTACGGAATTACTGGAAGTTGAACGGGGGCGATCGGACGAACGGATCGAGAGATATGAATTTTGGTGGTTTAATTGGAATTTCTGGGTGAAGGAAGATATTTGTGGAACAAAGGAAAATTGATTTATGAAATTTATAGAAATAATATTCTCAAGAATATTATTGACAGTCACAGACGTGCGAGACCAAGGGAAATGATTCATGGAATTTTGGAATAAGGAATTGATTTATGGAACAAAGGAAAAAGGATTTATTGAATTTCTAGAAAAGAGAGATATTTGTGGAATATTGGAAAAGATATTCTCAAGAATATCTTTGACTCATTGACAAGTGGGGCTAACAAGAAGTGAGAGAGGATAGATGGGCTGCGGTCCATGGGTGGCTGATGTGGTAGGAGGGAGGACTGAGGGAGCAAAGCTAGACTTCGTTCCATGGCAGCTGGTTTGGAAGAGGGAGGCAACGTAGACTTTGTTCCAAGGACCGAGGAGAGAGGTGAGGCCCAGCGGCTGGCGAGAAAGAGCGAGAGAGGAGATGGGCCGGCTCGGGTTGGGCGGCCCACGGCCGGGCGGGCAAGGCCGAGCCGACCCAGGCCTGCGCGTGCGGGCGGCGCTGACCGGTCGCTGCTTGACCCGGTCGAGCGGGGCCGGCGGGCCGAGGTGGCGGCCACGCAAACGTGAGAGAGGGAGGCCGTGTTCGCCCGGATCGGACGGCTCACGGCGGCCGAGAGGCGCCGGCGAACCGCGGCGAACCGGAGGAAGCGGCTGGCACCGGTGGCGAGAGGAGGAGGAGGGGAAGCCATTCCACCGCTTGGATCGAGGAGAGGATGCGCGACGGCGGCTGGCGGCGGCGGCGAAGCTCGCCGGATGCCGGATGCGGATGCGCGAGAGAAGGGACGAGGGGACGCGGGGTCGGGCTTAGCCGAACCAATTCGCAGTTGCGACGCGCACGCGGGGGCGCGAGACCCAATGGTCGCCGCGTTCGAACTCGCGGCGGTGCTATGCGGCGGCGGAAGAGGCGGCATGGCGCGGGAGCGGGTGGGGAGGCCGGCGACTGGGGCGGCAGTCTGGGAAGGTTCAAGAGGACACGGGGAGGGTCGCGGCGCAAGGAATCGGCGAGAGAAGGGCCGACGGCGGCGGATTGCGGCGGTGGCCATCGCCGGCGGAGAAAAGGGGAAAACTCGCCGGGGCAACAGGAGTCCAATTCACCGGGGAAAGAGCTTCTACACGGCTCCGGGAACTCGTTTCAAGCGACGGGCGGCGACGAGGGGGGGGGGGCGCTCACCGACGAGAGAGGAGCGGCGTCGGCGGCGGGCGCGGCGCGGCGAGCGACAGGGGAAAGTGGTTCGGTGGGGAGCTCACCGACGAGAGAAACGGCGTCGGCGGCGCGGATGGAGTCGCGGCAAGGCGGACGCGACGGCGGGGCGGCGTGGCACCGAGGGTGCGCGGTCGGGGTAGAAGGGAGGGAGAGGTGGCGATGGGGCAGCCCGGAGCTCCTCGTCACGCGTCCACGCATGCACCGGCTCCTCCGGTGCTCGGCGGCGGACGGTGACGGAGAGAGCGGGGCGAGCAGCAACAATGGCGCGGCGGTGATGGAAGTTCGGCGGCAAAGGCGCGGTGAGTGTGAGGCGAGTGAAAACGAGAGAGGGAGGGGTTTGGGGCGGCTTGGGTTTTATAGATGGTGGTGAAGTCGGTTTGGGGAGGAAACCGACCTATGCGGTCAAGGAGCGGGAGATGGCGGTCGCGCTAGCTCGGCTGGCGGTCACGGGCGACGCAAGAGCGGCGGACGACGAGGATGCAAGGAACGGCGAAGGCGGTGGATCGGGTGGCCGAAATTGAACGCGGTGTGCGTGCTGGCGCGGTCAAGGAGCGAGAGCTGGCAGCCGTGCTTGGAGCTAGCGGCCATGCGGCGGCAGAGCATGACAGTGGCTGACTGAGGTTGAGGTAAAGGTGAAAAGGAAGAGAGAAAGGAGGGCTTGCCCTTGCCATCTTGGGGGAAAGAGGAAGGGAGAGAGAGAGGCTCTGCCTCCGGGATTTGGACGGACGCGGGTGGAGCGGCTTGGGCACACGCTGCAGAGCTCGCGGCAGGCAGCGCGGCGCAGGCGCTGACGCCGGCGGCGACCGGGCGGTCAGCCACGACCGGCGCATGCGCGGGAACCAAAGGCGGTGGCGGGTTCAAATGGCGGCGGCGGGAATCGGCGCCGGGGAGAGAGGAAGCAGAGAGGGCGAGAGAGAGAGAGGGCGGCGCTCTCTCTCGGCTCGGGCACGATGCACGTGCTCAGCACGTGCGAAGGGGAGGGGAAACGGGCTGTGAGGAGGGATGGGCCGAGGGAAAGGAATTTGGCCCACAAAAAGAGAGGGAGGCAAAATAGACTTTTGCAAAGAGATGATTTGGTGAGAATTGGAGTTTGGATTTGGATTCAAATTCGATATCCGAACTCGAGGGTTCAGGGAGGAATCAAGGAATGGATTCAAGGTGGACTCGGATATTTGTGGAATCGGGACAAGTATTTGGCGAGGATTCAAAGGAGGCGATTGAATTTCAGGATTTGATTTCGGAAACTTGAATCGAGATTGGAAACTTGAGGTGGGGAAATTTTGATGGCGTTGAGAGGGAACAAGGACGGATTTGAATTGAGATCCACGGCGCGACTTAGACTCACACTCAAAGAACAAAAAATTTTCGCATATAGGATTTTGCCGAATTAGTTTTTAACGACTCACGAAAAGCGGAGCGTTACAGCTAGTGTCTTTTTTTCTCTTTTTTTTCATCTTAGGACCTGCTTTTGAATTTGGTATAAAATTCATATTCATAAAGTTTCTACACCAAAATTTGTATTTCAGCATGCTAATAGGGCCTTGGCTGTGTTGGGGCCTTTTATTTACTTCCTGCGATATGATGTATCAATTGTTTTCATGTATATACTTCCAGCTTTGTACGATTCTATATGTTAGAATCTGCATTCCATCTTTGAAACTATGACACTTTCATTATAACACAAGATACGTAAAATAACTCAATGGTGTCATGCATGATACCTAAAATATCATAGGTACCATATAGTACCTCCAAAATATGTCCATGATACCCCCGAAGTATTAGACAAGTGTTGTTCGAGATACCATATCTCCGTAATACCTTCGAGGTATAATATACATCAAGATACATCAAAGTACTTTATATACCTCCATCTCCATGGTACCTTTTAGTATCATGCATTATACATCGAGGTACTATTATGATCTAGTTTCTTAGAAGTGGATAGGAAACATGATCTGAAATGAAAACATAGACGGATGGATACAGGCGGGTTGCGAGCAAGGGATCGAAGATGGGAAAAGGTGACGCAACAATATAGAAGCGAATAGGGCAATGGACGGAAAATTTAGACATAAACACTTTCCATTTTCTGGTAAAAAAAAACACTTTCCATTTATTTTATGATAGTAGAGTAGAGATAGAGATTTTCAGTGCCTTTTGGACTGATCCGCAAGTGGGCCGGTTCGTTAGAAGGTCTCCCCACCATGTGTCCCACGTGTCTATTAGCCTATTTGTTGTTGTATTATTTAACTTTGGTCTAATGTTTGATTAGACATATATTCTGGTTATTGTATTTGCAATTGATGAATAGTCAGATGCTCCGTAATACATGAAGTTTTTTTTTTATTTTTTTGAAACCAATAATACAGCCTATATTATACAGGAAGTTGATGCTAAAGTATTGGTTAAGTATAGGTTAAAGATGTTTACAACAGGGTTTGCAATTTCGGTGGTTGCCGAAAATTTTGTGATTTCCGGGTTTTTGATCGAAATTATTTGAATGTTTAACATATTTTGACTGAATTTGAACAAATTTTGACCAAATTTACAAATATTTGATAAAAAACCAAAAATTTCGGAGAGATTTGTGTTTGCCAGTGGGAGCCGAAATTACCGAAATTTTCACACCATGGTTTACAATCAATGTCCTATGTCTTTGTTTAAGCATTCTAGCACATTGATTAATTAGTAATGGGATTACTTCTAACACTGAAAACATTGGATATTTCAGGTATGCCCGCTACTCTGGTCACGCTTGACCTTGGCTACAATGCACTGGATGATGTTATCACTGCAGAACACTTGAGTCATCTAAACAGATTAAAACACATAGATTTATCTTACACCTCCTTAAAGATTCAGATTGTCTCGGAATGGCAACCTCCCTTTCGACTGGAGTCAGCATCTTTTCAATTTTGCCAGATGGGTCCACGATTTCCTGCTTGGCTTCAATCCCAAAAGAGTATTGATTCACTTGACATGTCAAGTACAGGTCTTAGTGGTAAGCTTCCACACTGGTTTGCTACTACATTTTCCAGGGCATCTGAATTGAACTTTTACAACAACAGTATCACTGGAGAATTACCAAAGAAAATGAGAAATATGTCATTGCAGAGACTTTTTTTGGGTTCAAACCAGCTTAAAGGTCGAATACCTCACTTGCCAGTAAATCTTACTCAGTTGGATCTCTCCAGAAACTATTTCAGGACCATTACCATCAAACCTTCCAAACCTGTCTGAAGTGGTACTTTTCTCCAATAACATCTCTGGCCGTATTCCGAAATCAATTTGTCAATCACAAGATTTGGCTACCTTAGACTTAGCCAACAATCGTTTGAAGGTAAATTTCCTCGTTGTTTCAATCCAAAAAACATCGTTAGCGTGCTATTAAGTAATAATAGGTTCACTGGCAAGTTCCCTTCGTTTTTGGAAAGGTGCACACAGTTAGTTTTCCTGGATCTTGGATGGAATGAGTTCCATGGAAGATTGCCTGTTTGGATTGGAGATTTAGTGCGCTTAGAAGTATTGGCTCTGGACCACAATAAGTTTTTCGGTGGTATTCCAGATAAAATCACTAATATTTCGTGCCTTATACACTTGAATTTGGCAGCCAATAATATATCGGGTGCAATGCCTCGGCATTTGTCAAATTTTACAAGTATGTCAGGTAGTATTAATGGTTGTGGTGATATACCTGATAACAATTCTCCTTCTGAGAAAGATAATGTGTCCGTGGTCACAAAGGGGAAAGATCTTTATTATGATGATGCTGAAATTCTTGACATGGTAACCATTGATTTATCCTCCAACTATTTGACTGGAGACATTCCACAAGAGATAACCTCTCTCCTTAGTTTAAGATGCTTGAATTTGTCTGGGAATCACTTGAGTGGAAAAATTCCAAACAAGATTGGGATCCTGCAGTCATTGGAATCACTTGATTTGTCAAGAAACAACCTTTCCGGTGAAATCCCATCGAGCCTCTCAAATCTAACATTTTTAAGTGACCTGGACTTGTCATTTAACAATCTTAGAGGAACAATACCATCAGGATCACAACTTGACAGCCTCTATACGGAGCACCCTCGTATGTTCGATGGCAACGGCGGTCTTTGCGGGCCACCTCTTGGAAAGAATTGCTATGTACCGCAGAAAGGTCACATGAGAAGAAAAGAAAATTTTTCTAAGATACAGCCATTTCATGTTGGAATTTTACTGGGCTTCATTGCAGGTCTCTGGGTGGTTTTCTGCATCATGCTCTTCAAAAAATCATGGAGAATTGCCTACTTCCGCCTGTTCGATAGTATGTATGACAAAGTATATGTGCTTGTTGTTGTTTCTTGGGGCAAGTTTGCCCAGGAAAACTACTAAGTACCCACCCAATGGCACATCCCCTGCATAGTGCATATTGTTGTTGTTGCTGTAGTAGCCTTTTCTTTATCGCAAGTTATGTGTAATGTTTTTGTTGGGGTAGAAATAATGAGAGATAGAGGCATCGTTAGTAGTACTTGCTAATTAAGTATTAATTTGAGAATTAGCAATCAGCATATATTGTCAATGTTTGGCTTAATTAATTCCATCTCTGTATATGCACCATAACTAGTGTGAGATTTTGAATTCACAACCTGTTTATGCTACGTAGTGTGTCGAATTTGTGACTCAAAAGTGCTATATATTGTCAATGTTGGCTTAATTAATTCCATCTCTGTTTGATTTTTTAGCTTCATAAAAGGTGTTAACTGCATAATATCGGCAAAAGAAATGTAACACAGTACTCTTCTGTTAGGCACTCATTGATTTTAAGACCAAGTACAGGATCAATATTTTTTGCTGATGTAATCCATTTTTTGGTGATCCCAAACCATTAACAATCAACGGTGCTAATTTTCACAGATTACTTATTGACAGGGTTAGAAGGTGTGCAGTTCTTTACTTTATGGAGTATCAAGTTTTTGCAAGTGCGCATGACAGTAGATATATTACCATCCAAGAAATTCATTTGTATAGCTTTTAATAGTGTATCATGTATTCGTGTTCATGCCTAAACAATTGGGCTGCAAACCCGCATGGGCATTAATTTTATTTATATATATTCTTATCCTTTTCACAAAAGATATAGATGCAGTTCTTTTGATTGCTCTGAAAAACATATAATTCCTGCAAAGAACTATGCTGGAAAAATGTAAACATTAAGCCTAGTACTTTTATCAGATTCACTTGCGAAGCCCATTCTTCATAGCAGGCATGAACTCTATCTTTCTGTAAGATATAAACAACACCGGATAATACTAACACACACATAGCATTTGATTGGTGATAAACAGAGAGTTCTGACTGGCAGATGCCACACTGGAACAGGAAAGTGGAAAATCAAAATCATGTTGACGTTATATTTTACTGTGAAGTACTTCAGAACAACAAAGTAAACAAAGGGGAGCAGATTCGCACCTTTTGTTGGCCAAAAGGGGAGCATATGCCCTAAGCTTTCATTCCTTCCTGCATTCCTCTCTTCCCATATATACTGCAACCTTTGCAATCTGCAAATAAGAAGGCAGATAGGTCTCCTCAACACAGCCAAATTTACTCTTAAGCCTTAACATGTTTCTACACTACCTGCAAGATCGCAGTATCCAGAGCGCTGCAAGAGCTATGAAATTATTTCCCCAATCTGAAATGCCATTCCAGTAAATCAACAGCACGGTAGATCAACGCGATGAAGTCTTGGTTCTTCCTCAAATCCAACGATAAAACGCAGGCCAATCCAAGGCCGTGCACCGAAGAACGGATTCCGGACGAGTCAGTAGCAGCGAATCGGAGGGCACAACCGAGGCAATCAGGAATTGGGGGAGATAGTAACTTGCTGCGCAGAAACGAACAGCGGGGTTCTCACCTCGCGTCGGGGCCTCGAGGGAGAGAAGATCACCTCGTCGGAGAAGAAGCTTCCGACCTGGGCTGTAGCGGCGGAGTAGCTCACCGTCGCCGGAGCTCCGGTGCCCTGGGCCCGGAGAGCAAAAGCCTTGATTTAGGTCTAGTTTTGTTTGGGCCGTATGGCCCGCTCGCTGTAATGGGCCTAGCCCATCTGCAAGTGGCCGTTATGCTGAACTGAACCCAGTTTGAAATGGCACAAGTTCACTTTAGGTTCCTCAACTTGACAATGAGTTCGATTTTCGTCCTTGAACCGCAATACCAGATATAACGGGTCTGGATTTTTACAATTTGTCCTTTTTGAAAACTTATTTTACAAATAGACCTCTAGAAAAACTTATCCCAGAAATAGCTCTTTTTGAGCACCAAAGTCGTTGGCGCCATCGTCCAACGGGATATTGCACCCGCAAGGACGAAAATTGAACTCGCTGTCAAGGGACTAAAATGAACTTATTCCATTTGAAATTTCCTACGAACTTCATATTGAGACTCGAAATATGCCCCCTGAAAAAGATTTTGAAAGCATTTTAAATTTTAAGCATATTGAAATGAGGAGATTCCAAATTCAAACAGACAAAGATGCACAAAGCAATCTCTGGCTTGGGGTGATGATATGTACTCTGCATACAATTGAGTTCCTTTTTTTTTCACTGCTAGGGATTGATGAAGAAATGTGGGTTGAACGTGAAACAACTTTCAGAATTGTGCTAAACTACTTGTCCAAAAATGCATGTTTATCCTCAGTGGTGGACACACCCATTAGGCAGGGTGGGTCGGCCGGCTCAGCTACAGTCCGTATCGCCCCACGTCCCCAAACCTCATTTTAGGCCTATTTCTAAGACATTAGTCATCAGTCTACTATTGAATAATCAGATAAATCAAGTGTTTTAAGTAGGAAGAAAAACATTTATGAAAATTCATGTATAACTAAAATCATTTTGACCGTTTCTGATTTTGGCCATACATAAAATTTGATTTTCTTTCTATTTCTTTAGCACATAATACAGTCTATAGTAAATAGTTAAATTGGTAAATATATATAAAAAAATTATTTTACTCACTTGAACTATTTTGACGAAGCACTTAAACCCCTAAATAATTTTTCATCTCGTTTTATACCCTCCCCGAACTATTGAAAGTGGTTGCCCTTATTGTCTAACAACATTTCTTATTTTTTTTATCTCTCTACATATAAATCATATATGTTTGTTTGACTACCAATCTTTGTTGTTAACTTTCTCGATGTTCGTGTTGTGCACTGTTGCGCCAATACCGTGAACCAGCGACTATGGTTTGTGTGCATTGTGCCATCACTTAATTAGGGTTAGCTCTGCCGCCCCATCTGTATTCTAAATCTGCGCCCGCCACTGTTTATCCTCATGGTTGTGGGATAATATTTTGGAGCTAATTCTTGAAATCATTAACTTGGACAATGCATGCATGAACACAAAATTTCTCTTGTGCTGAATTTGGTGGTATAATGGGAATCACTGTGCAGGTAGCAGGACACCAGGAACGCCGAGATGCCGCAATGGTGATGGAAATCGTCGAGATAGAATTCCCCCTTCGTTCCCCTTTACCACACCTTAGGATCAAGAGTTTTGGTCTAGCTAGGCCGTAAATCAGTTGCCACTCACCACCGATGAACGGGTAGCCATTCCTTTATATGTGTGTGTGTGCTGAGGGGATCAAGACGATTCTGTTGCGCCACACGTTCAATCGTGGTGAGAGGGAGAGAGAGATAGAGAGAGCAACGTGCATCTCTGTCGAGAGACTTGGTCTTCAATGTTAAATGCATGTGGACGTGGGATCGACTAAGCCCATATGTGTGTTCATCTGGCTCAATGGCCAGAAATCAATCTAACAAATACTCCCTCCGTTTCAAAATATCTGACACCGTTGACTTTTTAGTATATGTTTGACCGTTCGCCTTATTCAAAAAATTTTGTGAAATGTGTACATGAAAGTATATTTAACAATAAACTAAAAAGTCAACGGTGTCAAATATTTTGAAACGGAGGAAGTACTAGCTACTCCCACCGTCCAGAATATAAGTATTTTTAGAATTGGACACAGTTATTAAGAAAGTAGGTAGAAGTGAATGGTGGAGGGTTGTGATTGGTTAAGTAGTAGAGGTAGGTAGGAAAAATGAATGGTGGAGAGTTGTGATTAGTTGGGAAGAGAATGTTGGTGTAGAAGTTGTTATATTTTAGAACAAATCTTAAGAGCTAAAAATTGAAAAATTATTATATTTTGGGACGGAGAAAGTACCAATCTAAGTTGGATTGGTGTTTCTATCCAGAGATCAGTCTGCAGTGTTTGTGGTGTTGATGCCTCCTTTTCACACCGCTAACACAATTCAAGGGCCATCTAAATATTTTATGGTGATATGGAGTCACCAATCATCTTAAACTTTGAGGAATCTCCTTGGTCAAGATGGGTTTAATTAGAAGATCAAAATTGGTTAATAGAGCCAATCTATCTATCTATCTTCTATTATATACTAAAAGTCCATTAAACATCCTATAAACGCTCTCAAGCCGTCACATAGGATTCCTAAAAACGCTCATATGCCGCCACGTGGCGTTCTAATATATTAGAAACATCTAGCCCTTAATTTTCATTTAAACCGGTGGGTCCATTATTTTAGACCATTAGATTAGATCACACTATAATAAATAGATGGACCCACTATTTTTAACTATTAGATTTATCTTTAAAAAAATTAAAAAACATGTAATCCATCTCGCTCTTTGTCACGCCCTGAAGTTCTTCTCCCTAGCAAAAATCCAATTGATAAATTGTTGGAAGAAATTATTTGTTTAAAGGCAAGAGAGAAATCCTAAATTAATAAATACAAATAATAATCGGAATCGGCATGTGGAATTTTTCTTGGATTCTACATGTCAAAATATGCTAACAGGAATTTTAGTGGAATTTTCAGAGCATTGGAAATAATTTTAACCAATTAAAATAAGCAATGTGCAATATTTAAATCCCGGGAAAAATCTTTTTCCTTTTTCTTCTCTTCTTTTTCCCTTTTTCCTTTGTTGGGCCGTCGGCCCACTCATCCCGCGCGCCCGCCCTCCTCTCAGCTGGGCCGGCCCACTCCCTCCCTCCTCTCTCCGGGTCACCGACAGGTGGGGCCCACCTGTCGGCCCCTTCTTCCTCCTCCAGCCGACGGCACCGCCGCCGCCGAAACCGCCACCGACGCCGCCGGTTTCCCCGTTTCCCGCGCCCACTCCGCCCGTGCCGCACGCCCACGTCGCCGCCCACGTCCCGCCGTTTCCCGCCCTCGCGCGCGCCCGAGAATGGTCGGATTCATTTTGAATCCCTCCTCTCTATTTCTCTCTCCACCCCACGTCGCTGGCCAAATCGGCCACCCCCCTGGCCGTTCCCTCCCCTCCCTCGCCCATAAAACGCTCCCCCGAACCTCCTCTCGTGTTTCCCTCCTTTGTCGCGCCCTCCCGTGCTTCCTACCGCCGCCGCGCCGTCGCACCGAGCTCCGCCGCCTGCCGCCGCCCTCCGGTCGCGCGCCGCCGCTACTAGAGCCGCCGCCGCGCGAAGCCGTCGCCACCGCTAGCTTCGCCGTCGCGGGGGCTATCCCAGCCGCCGCTCGCTTGCCGCGCGCCACCGCCGCACCGCTCTTCCCACGCGCCACCGCCTATCACCGCCTCCAACCGCCGCTAGCCGTCGCTAGTGACGTCACCGCGCCGCTCCATTGCCGCTGTTGGCCTCGCGAGATCGAGGCTCGTCTCGTCCATCCCGCGCGCCCCGCTGTCCGCCGCTTGCCGCCGCCGGCCGCCGTCGTCTTCACCCACGCCGACCGAATCCCCGGTGAGAACTCCCTCCCCTTCTCTTCCTCTCGCGCGCGCCGCCGCTCCTCGCGTGCGCGTCGCCGTGATGCGTCGTTGCTCGCGTCGCCGGCCGCCGTCGTCTTCTCGCCGGCCGCCGCCGTCGGTGGCCGCTTGGGCCGCCGCATCATCTAACCGGCCGGCCGGTTTGAAGCCGAGCCGGGCCGACCGGGCGCCTCGCCGCTCCCCCCCCCCTTTGTGACACTGCCCAGTGGGCCCGCCTGCCAGCCGCCCCCTCTCCCTCCCTTAGTGCCGCTTACCAATGGGGCCCGCATGTCGGCGCCGCCCCACCCCTTGCTGACGTCAGCCCTGGGATGAATTATTGCGCAATAAATTCATTAAGGTTTTTCTTTTATAGTAATAAACACAGATAATCTTCTAAAAATCATAATTAATTCATCCGAGCTCCGATTAAGTCCATTCAAGTCTCAGTAAATCAAGAAAAATGTGTAGAATCCATTAAAAATGGTTTTGTTCTCTGTTTCAATAGTCTTATAGCATGTTTTGCTTGTGTGCTTTGTTTGTCGCATAGATTTCGGCCGTTTCGTCAATCCGCGGTTCCTTGAAGACGTTGCTGTGGTCTCATCAGTGCGAGAGCAAGACAAGTCATGCATTACAATTGATCATATTGTACCTAATTTACAAATGTCCCGTATTTCTATTAAATATTGCATTATTTTACAATATCATGTGGGATGGGTCTTATTACTCAGCTATATGTTGTTTCCCTTATGCCATTGATAACTTGGGTATCGAAATGACTAGATGTTGGTTTAGGAAATGCTTAGCCATGCCTAGTTCAACTAGTACACAAAAGGGGAATCACATTAATGCATAGACTCTGATTATCGGCATAGCTTTGGTTTAGTGCCACCGTAATGGTGTTGGTTAATTAAAATACACTACATGGTGGGCTGTGGGTGCATGGTTTTGCTAGTCGTGCCCACGGCAATTAAGGACCGGTTCGCGGGATGCCCTGGAAGAACTTATCGTACTTACCACAAGCCAGCGTGGGCAACGGCTGGGCTTGTAGTGTAGCTTTTCTCTAGCCGACGTACCCAGGCGAGGGTGGGCGTGATGGAGTTGGGTCAGCCGGGGTGTCCGGTTGATCGGCTTCCGGATTCACCGCGGCACGAAAGGGGGGCTGCCCGTTGCCTGCTGGGGACGAGGGCGAACCCTAAGGTGTGGTGCGATCGGTTAGAGGGGGTTATGCGAAG